GCCCAAAAAAAAAAATACAAACCAACAAATCATTAACTGTATACATCATAAATCATAAACAAAAAGCACACAGTTAACGAGCAAGCAATTATGCAGTGATAACCTTAACATTCACACCGGAGTGTGTACCTGTGTAAAATGGGAGGGGCATAAGATCTGCGAGCATGACGTTATCAAACGAATGACTTCCTGCTACAATTTAAGACAACGCCAGAGGAGGGGTTAAACATTACCGGGAGACGTAAGATGAGCTGATGTGTGATAACCTGGAATGTATGGGGACCACTTCCTTAATGTGTCCGACAACTCACTAAACCATTCAGTGGGATAACCTGGAATGTATGGGGAACACTTCCTTAATGTGTCCGACATCTCACTAAACCATTCAGTGCGATAACCTGGAATGTATGGGGAACACTTCCTTAATGTGTCCGACACCTCACTAAACCATTGAGTGGGATAACCTGGAATGTATGGGGACCACTTCCTTAATGTGTCCGACACCTCACTAAACCATTCAGCCAAGGATAACCTGGAATGTATGGGGACCACTTCCTTAATGTGTCCGACACCTCACTAAACTATTCAGTGGGATAACCTGGAATGTATGGGGACCACTTCCTTAATGTGTCCGACACCTCACTAAACCATTCAGTGGGATAACCTGGAATGTATGGGGACCACTTCCTTAATGTGTCCGACACCTCACTAAACCATTCAGTGCGATAACCTGGAATGTATGGGAACCACTTCCTTAATGTGTCCGACACCTCACTAAACCATTCAGTGGGATAACCTGGAATGTATGGGGACCACTTCCTTAATGTGTCCGACACCTCACTAAACCATTTAGTGCGATAACCTGGAATGTATGGGGACCACTTCCTTAATGTGTCCGACACCTCACTAAACCATTCAGTGCGATAACCTGGAATGTATGGGAACCACTTCCTTAATGTGTCCGACACCTCACTAAACCATTCAGCCAAGGATAACCTGGAATGTATGGGGACCACTTCCTTAATGTGTCCGACACCTCACTAAACCATTGAGTGGGATAACCTGGAATGTATGGGGACCACTTCCTTAATGTGTCCGACACCTCACTAAACCATTCAGTGCGATAACCTGGAATGTATGGGGACCACTAATTAAATGTGTCCGACACCTCACTAAACCATTCAGTGGGATAACCTGGAATGTATGGGGAACACTTCCTTAATGTGTCCGACATCTCACTAAACCATTTAGTGGGATAACATGGAATGTATGGGGAACACTTCCTTAATGTGTCCGACACCTCACTAAACCATTCAGTGGGATAACCTGGAATGTATGGGGACCACTTCCTTAATGTGTCCGACACCTCACTAAACCATTCAGCCAAGGATAACCTGGAATGTATGGGGACCACTTCCTTAATGTGTCCGACACCTCACTAAACCATTCAGCCAAGGATAACCTGGAATGTATGGGGACCACTTCCTTAATGTGTCCGACACCTCACTAAACTATTCAGTGGGATAACCTGGAATGTATGGGGACCACTTCCTTAATGTGTCCGACACCTCACTAAACCATTCAGCCAAGGATAACCTGGAATGTATGGGGAACACTTCCTTAATGTGTCCGACACCTCACTAAACCATTCAGCCAAGGATAACCTGGAATGTATGGGGACCACTTCCTTAATGTGTCCGACACCTCACTAAACCATTCAGTGGGATAACCTGGAATGTATGGGGAACACTTCCTTAATGTGTCCGACATCTCACTAAACCATTTAGTGGGATAACCTGGAATGTATGGGGAGCACTTCCTTAATGTGTCCGACACCTCACTAAACTATTCAGTGGGATAACCTGGAATGTATGGGGACCACTTCCTTAATGTGTCCGACACCTCACTAAACCATTCAGTGGGATAACTAATGTGTCCGACACCTCACTAAACCATTCAGCCAAGGATAACCTGGAATGTATGGGGAACACTTCCTTAATGTGTCCGACACCTCACTAAACCATTCAGCCAAGGATAACCTGGAATGTATGGGGACCACTTCCTTAATGTGTCCGACACCTCACTAAACCATTCAGCTAAGGATAACCTGGAATGTATGGGGACCACTTCCTTAATGTGTCCGACACCTCACTAAACCATTCAGTGCGATAACCTGGAATGTATAGGGAACACTTCCTTAATGTGTCCGACACCTCACTAAACTATTCAGTGGGATAACCTGGAATGTATGGGGAACACTTCCTTAATGTGTCCGACACCTCACTAAACCATTCAGTGCGATAACCTGGAATGTATGGGGACCACTTCCTTAATGTGTCCGACACCTCACTAAACCATTCAGTGGGATAACCTGGAATGTATGGGGACCACTTCCTTAATGTGTCCGACACCTCACTAAACCATTCAGCCAAGGATAACCTGGAATGTATGGGGAACACTTCCTTAATGTGTCCGACACCTCACTAAACCATTCAGTGCGATAACCTGGAATGTATGGGGACCACTTCCTTAATGTGTCCGACACCTCACTAAACCATTCAGCCAAGGATAACCTGGAATGTATGGGGACCACTTCCTTAATGTGTCCGACAACTCACTAAACCATTGAGTGGGATAACCTGGAATGTATGGGGACCACTTCCTTAATGTGTCCGACACCTCCCTAAACTATTCAGCCAAGGATAACATGGAATGTATGGGGACCACTTCCTTAATGTGTCCGACACCTCACTAAACCATTCAGTGCGATAACCTGGAATGTATGGGGACCACTTCCTTAATGTGTCCGACACCTCACTAAACCATTCAGCCAAGGATAACCTGGAATGTATGGGGAACACTTCCTTAATGTGTCCGACACCTCACTAAACCATTCAGTGCGATAACCTGGAATGTATGGGGACCACTTCCTTAATGTGTCCGACACCTCACTAAACCATTGAGTGGGATAACCTGGAATGTATGGGGACCACTTCCTTAATGTGTCCGACACCTCACTAAACCATTCAGCCAAGGATAACCTGGAATGTATGGGGACCACTTCCTTAATGTGTCCGACAACTCACTAAACCATTGAGTGGGATAACCTGGAATGTATGGGGACCACTTCCTTAATGTGTCCGACACCTCCCTAAACTATTCAGCCAAGGATAACATGGAATGTATGGGGACCACTTCCTTAATGTGTCCGACACCTCACTAAACCATTCAGTGGGATAACCTGGAATGTATGGGGACCACTTCCTTAATGTGTCCGACACCTCACTAAACCATTCAGCCAAGGATAACCTGGAATGTATGGGGACCACTTCCTTAATGTGTCCGACAACTCACTAAACCATTGAGTGGGATAACCTGGAATGTATGGGGACCACTTCCTTAATGTGTCCGACACCTCCCTAAACTATTCAGCCAAGGATAACCTGGAATGTATGGGGACATTGAAGTATGTCATTATTCCCGAGATTCTATTGTCAGCAGATTTTTGGCTCTTGAAAAAAACACTGCTTTAATATTGCATACTTGTGATACTAGAAGATTTTTGTTTTAAAAAATATTTTCAGTTGTTTAAAAAAATGTTAACTAAGATGTAGATCATGCCATTTGCCGCAGGATAATATTATAATGGGAAACGGTGAGACTGTGAGCAAAGGGGAATAATCAATAAAACAAATCTCAGTACATAGCAGGAGTTCAGCGTCTTGATGATAACGCTCTGCTCTTGTGGTGGCAACGCAAGCTTTAAGAAAAGTTGGAATGGGGGATAAACATCGAGGCTGAATTTGATTTGAACTAGAAAAATCTGGAACAAGTTAAAATATGTGACGCTCTTTATGATAGGATCAAGTTCAAATCTGTCAACAATAAGAAAAAATGTGACGCTCCTTATGATTGAGTCAGTTTAAAATCTGTCAACAATAAGAAAAATATGACGCTCCTTATAGAAGAGTCAAGTTAAAATCTGTCAACAATAAGATAAATGTGACGCTCCTTATAGAAGAGTCAAGTTAAAATCTGTCAACAATAAGAAAAATGTGACGCTCCTTACAGAAGAGTCAAGTTAAAATCTGTCAACAATAAGAAAAATGTGACGCTCCTTATAGAAGAGTCAAATTAAAATCTGTCAACAATAAGAAAAATGTGACGCTCCTTATAGAACGGTCAAGTTAAATTCAGTCAACAATAAGAAAAACGTGACGCTCCTTATGATTGAGCCAAGTTAAAATCTGTCTTTCCCCCCACGGAATAAGTCGATTACCGCTAAGTACATTATTCACAAGGAAACCTCCCCTGGCCCAGTAGCAAAGACAAAACATTGATTTTGAACTGGATGCGAATCACTAAGCTTCTCCATACCCCAAGGGGACAGCTCAGTTTTATGAGCTGAGCAAATATTGCATTGGAGGAAATTGTACAGATCTTTATAGTATTTGTGACAATATGGCTGAAACGACAAAAATAGATTGGGGTAAATTGTAAAGATCTTTACAGTATTTGTGACAATAAGGCTGAAACGACAAAAATACATTGTGGGGGGGGGGGGGGGGGGATTGTACAGATCTTTACAGTATTTGTGACAGTAAAGCCGACAAAACAAAAATACATTGGGAGAAAGTACAGATCTAGACAGCATTTGTGTTTATTTAAGTGACGGTAAAGCCGACACGACAAAAATAGAGACATTTTTACTATCTGTTTGTATCATTAATTTTAAAAAGTGATATTTAACTTTTTACCTCAAATATAATTTTCGCTTTTGCTGATATTGAATGCGATTAATTAAAATAGGTAATATTTCTTTTCTTTAAGAGGTTAAAAATTCATAACTAAAATACATGATCTCTTTTGTTTAAACACAATAATTGTGCAACTTTATAAAAAAAATTAATTCCCTTGCCGATGGACATAATTGTTCAAGCAACATAGCCACAACTCTGTCCCCTGGTTGAACATATTACAATCAAGCGTCGTGTACTCACCGATCTGGTTTCGAACAGCTTGACCAAACTCCTGACCGAGTTCCGTGAGCCGGTCCGTACCAGGTTGACCAGGCTCCGCTCCCTCTTGATGCCAGAGCTGGAGCCGGCACTGCCGCAGCTGGTGTCTCGGCTACCCTTGGCATCTTGCGACTTGGCTCTCCGGGTCCGGAACCGTGACCACGATCTGGACCGTGCACGTGACCTCGACCTACTGTCGTCCTTGTTGTTTTTAGAAGCAGTCCGGTTGCCGGTGTCATTGTTGTTGGGCTCGGCCGTGTCGAGCCTGCCCTCCGGCTCCTCGAACGTTACATTACGTTTTTCCTTCATTGACATGATCTAGAACAGCCGGTCACCGTACAGCCGGTCACCGTATAGCCGGTCACCGCACGGCACACGCGGCTAGCTGAGTTACAGCCGGGGGTATGGGCATCAAATGTCACCACAAAGCGACATCCTCTGTTGTGTCATCTATTATTTCCGCCTGTCACTGATCATGGATCAATAACTATCGATTGGACGGACTGAATGTCCGACATCCCACAATATTCCACTATCAGTCATTGTATTTAACACTCAATCCAATTGGGAAAAAAAGTTACACCACATGGGATAATATCCAAACCTCTGACTAGAGAATGAAAAAAAAAAAACATGACCGCAACATATTAGAACAGATGAAGCAGAGGTAAACGTCAGATCCACCTGTATGACGCCACTCAGCGAATCACAACGTATCACAACGGCCACCTCTCGCCCATGGAACCTGCGACAGTGGGGAAATTTCTTGAGTCACTGTCGTCACCGCTCAAGGTATTTCCCAGCTGTGCGTCGCCTTTTATTATCTCCCGTTTATCGATTTACAAAGAATGCGGCTTTCCCCGCCAATGTTCTATGCATTTCAATGAACCAGCATATTTTTAACACGGAGTAAAAATAGTCTACGTATGGAAACTGTGAGGGCAGTTTTAACATGGGGTAAAAATAGTGTCAACATATATAATTGACGAGGAATTTCAAGGAGCCAAATATATTTAACGAGAAGTAAATATTGGTGTTTGGTGATTGCAACAAAGTGGGTTGGGGGGGGGGGGGGTGTCACACGCTTCTCGTGTTGTTAAAACATTGCTCATACAAGCATGATTCCCTGGCCCGAGTTAAGTGGGAGACTAGGTTACATTTGATACAAAATAGAAGTCAGCAACAATCTGATCACGTGATTCGTAGCAACCACCAGAGAACGCCTAATGTGTATTGTCTCTACACGCTATACATCTTATGTCTTTCTACAAACGCTATACTCCCTATGTCTTCTCTATACACGCTAAACATCATTTATGCCTTGTCTCTATACACGCTGTACTTCTTATGTTCTACGACTAGCTTGTGTTGTACCCACATACTGACAGCCATAATCGCGTGTAAGCCGTGCATTTTACATTTACTCCCCTTTAAACTGGCTGTATTAAAATGGTTATAATGTTACAACGTGGATTACACAGAAATCAAAACTACCCGTCAAGTGCAGTCAGTAATAACTTTACCAGGAACAGATATTCAATTGTATACCACTACCCAGGCCACTTACAATTATTTATTTTTTGCAAAAAACAGATGTAGAGGAAGTTGGAAAACCCCCATCTGATTCCTGGAAAAGCAAGACATTTGACACAGACTTTAGCTGCAGCTGGTGGTGGCTAAGACAGTTATAAATAAACACCGGTATTTTCTTAACACTCATCCACAGCAATGATTTCTAATAGGAGATGAAGTATGGCTTCACATTCAAATAAAGCTAAAACTGTCAAAAAGAGCTGGCGCAAAATGCTAAATGATGGATGGTGCTGTATTCCAATATCCCAACAATGCTAGAACGGACAATTATGCGCCAATACAATTAGATCTAATAAGTGGGTCAGCGATAAAGAAAAACATCAAAGTAGCCCAGTGAAAGAAAGTGAACAGCTCAAGTTGGTCGCTAGAGGTTTTTATTCAAATAAACCTCGAGTTTACTGGGTCTAAGAACAGGCAGCATTAGCAAATATCAGATAAGTGCTGAAAAGCTGCATTAGGTTGCTGGCACATATAAGCACGTGAACTAACGAGCTTAAAAATGCGCGTGAAATCATGGACAGCCGAACTTTGTGCATCGCTCTACTCAAGTATGAGAGAGTGCAAGTGTGAAAAGTTAAAAGACTACGGGCTTAGTTCAGTGGTCAGAGGTCAACTAACTTGTGCCCGTCATATAATAAAATCTTTCCTTTATAAGATCAAAGTTGACTCCCTAACTAACGCCAAACTGTTTTGTAGACACAAGTTAAACTTCAAGTGGACTAAGTAGATCCCGGTTATACGGGATTTTTTTTATCTTCAACTTACTGCATTCTTTGAGATAAAGAACTTGAATATCTTGGTTATAAACTTAAAGCACATCGCCCCTGTTAAATTGTTTAAAGTAGTTTTAAACTATGGGAAGTTGTTTGTGATCAAGGGACCTGGCTTAAATAAAGAATTAACCAAAGGACAAATATAGACACATTAATAGAAAGTAAGGCTTTGTTCCAATACTCTCAGATAATGGAAAACATTGCGTCAGACCAGAGGCTCGAAATTTGCTTTGTGTAAATCTCGACATAGCGTGGAACGTGCGTGCACAAGGGCACGGGAGGTAAGGGGATAAATGTCCAAAGGTGAGTACAATATTGCTCAAAGGGACTCACAGTAAAGGTGTTACCCTATTGGCAGGGTTGTAAGTTCAAGGTGCTGACCACATGCTGACATTCGGCTGGATGTACCAACTACACCATACACAGGGGAAAACTTGGGCAGGATTATGTTGCTGGGTGTACCAACTACACCATACAGCATACACAGGGGAAAACTTGGGCAGGATTATGTTGCTGGGTGTACCAACTACACCATACACAGGTGAAAACTTGGGCAGGATTATGTTGCTGGATGTACCAACTACACCATACAGCATACACAGGGGAAAACTTGGGCAGGATTATGTTGCTGGGTGTACCAACTACACCATACACAGGTGAAAACTTGGGCAGGATTATGTTGCTGGATGTACCAACTACACCATACAGCATACACAGGGGAAAACTTGGGCAGGATTATGTTGCTGGATGTACCAACTACACCATACAGCATACACAGGGGAAAACTTGGGCAGGATTATGTTGCTGGATGTACCAACTACACCATACAGCATACACAGGGAAAACTTGGGCAGGATTATGTTGCTGGATGTACCAACTACACCATACAGCATACACAGGGGAAAACTTGGGCAGGATTATGTTGCTGGATGTACCAACTACAACATACACCATACACAGGTGAAAACTTGGGCAGGATTATGTTGCTGGATGTACCAACTACACCATACAGCATACACAGGGAAAACTTAGGCAGGATTATGTTGCTGGATGTACCAACTACACCATACAGCATACACAGGGAAAACTTGGGCAGGATTATGTTGCTGGATGTACCAACTACAACATACACCATACACAGGTGAAAACTTGGGCAGGATTATGTTGCTGGATGTACCAACTACACCATACATCATACACAGGGAAAACTTGGGCAGGATTATGTTGCTGGATGTACCAACTACACCATACACCATACACAGGGGAAAACTTGGGCAGGATTATGTTGCTGGATGTACCAACTACACCATACAGCATACACAGAGGAAAACTTGGGCAGGATTATGTTGCTGGATGTACCAACTACACCATACAGCATACACAGGGGAAAACTTGGGCAGGATTATGTTGCTGGATGTACCAACTACACCATACACCATACACAGGGGAAAACTTGGGCAGGATTATGTTGCTGGATGTACCAACTACACCATACAGCATACACAGAGGAAAACTTGGGCAGGATTATGTTGCTGGATGTACCAACTACACCATACAGCATACACAGGGGAAAACTTGGGCAGGATTATGTTGCTGGATGTACCAACTACACCATACACCATACACAGGGGAAAACTTGGGCAGGATTATGTTGCTGGATGTACCAACTACACCATACAGCATACACAGAGGAAAACTTGGGCAGGATTATGTTGCTGGATGTACCAACTACACCATACAGCATACACAGGGGAAAACTTGGGCAGGATTATGTTGCTGGATGTACCAACTACACCATACAGCATACACAGAGGAAAACTTGGGCAGGATTATGTTGCTGGATGTACCAACTACACCATACAGCATACACAGGGGAAAACTTGGGCAGGATTATGTTGCTGGATGTACCAACTACACCATACACAGGGGAAAACTTGGGCAGGATTATGTTGCTGGATGTACCAACTACACCATACAGCATACACAGGGGAAAACTTGGGCAGGATTATGTTGCTGGATGTACCAACTACACCATACAGCATACACAGGTGAAAACTTGGGCAGGATTATGTTGCTGGATGTACCAACTACACCATACATCATACACAGGGAAAACTTGGGCAGGATTATGTTGCTGGATGTACCAACTACACCATACAGCATACATAGGGGAAAACTTGGGCAGGATTATGTTGCTGGATGTACCAACTACACCATACAGCATACACAGGGGAAAACTTGGGCAGGATTATGTTGCTGGATGTACCAACTACACCATACAGCATACACAGGGAAAACTTGGGCAGGATTATGTTGCTGGATGTACCAACTACACCATACAGCATACACAGGGGAAAACTTGGGCAGGATTATGTTGCTGGATGTACCAACTACACCATACATCATACACAGGGAAAACTTGGGCAGGATTATGTTGCTGGATGTACCAACTACACCATACAGCATACACAGGTGAAAACTTGGGCAGGATTATGTTGCTGGATGTACCAACTACACCATACATCATACACAGGGAAAACTTGGGCAGGATTATGTTGCTGGATGTACCAACTACACCATACAGCATACACAGGGGAAAACTTGGGCAGGATTATGTTGCTGGATGTACCAACTACACCATACAGCATACACAGGGGAAAACTTGGGCAGGATTATGTTGCTGGATGTACCAACTACACCATACAGCATACATAGGGGAAAACTTGGGCAGGATTATGTTGCTGGATGTACCAACTACACCATACAGCATACACAGGTGAAAACTTGGGCAGGATTATGTTGCTGGATGTACCAACTACACCATACAGCATACACAGGGAAAACTTGGGCAGGATTATGTTGCTGGATGTACCAACTACACCATACAGCATACACAGGGGAAAACTTGGGCAGGATTATGTTGCTGGGTGTACCAACTACACCATACACCATACACAGGGGAAAACTTGGGCAGGATTATGTTGCTGGATGTACCAACTACACCATACAGCATACACAGGGGAAAACTTGGGCAGGATTATGTTGCTGGGTGTACCAACTACACCATACAGCATACACAGGGGAAAACTTGGGCAGGATTATGTTGCTGGATGTACCAACTACACCATACAGCATTGCACAGGGAGGAGAACGGACAGGATTATGTTGTAGCTTCACTGTACGGCCATACTTTGCAACATAAACAGGTGAACCTACGCAATATTATGTTGCTTAACAACACGCATCATTAAAAGAGAAACAAATCGATTTATCGACAATTTTGAACCAGATCGAACAAGGCTTTAGAGGCGAGCTAGATTGTTTATCTCCCTCCCCCCCCCCCCCCCCCACCCCTCCAACCACCTTGCATTGCTACAACGATTTGCATCTAGGCTCTCGGTTAAGTGCAGATCGAGGCAGTCATTCGTCAGGGAAAAAACATCACAGCTCATACATTAAGTGACCGGGAAAACATCCCAGCCAGAGTAAAGTGGCCAGGAAAAACATCATAAGCAGGGAATACATTGGCCAGGAAAAACATCATAAGCAGGGAATACATTGGCCAGAAAAAACATCACAGCAACAGAAGAAAGTGGCCAGGTTTCAACTGCCGTGGCTAACAAGGCAAATGGTAAACAACTAATTAGACCAAAACATCGCAGGAGAAAGTGTTACACTTTGTTATTTCCGTTGGTATTAGAAGGGGACAGAAAGCTGAAATCACTGCTAAAAAGTTGAATTTGATTTGTAAAGAACTGCCAGACTACGTGTACAAAAACTAAGTAAAGCGATTGAATAATACAAGAAGAGAATCTGTGTCATCGATCCGACAGTATCTATCAAGATTTAGACCGAAAATAACTCAAAAAGATTCGCTAAACGGGTTGAAAAAAATTAAATATAAATAGACAAACAAAGCGAAATTTTTTTTCAGTGTATATTTTCAGTGAGTATGATTGAAAAACAAAGCGATTTTTTTTTTCAGTGTATATTTTCACTGAGTATGATTGATTTTTTTCTCTGAGCTTAACAAAAAAGAGGCAAATAAGATTTAGATGTTCGCCAAATGGGTTATCCAAATATTTGGTTTAAAAACTCAGCCCTACCTCCCCAACATCTTAATCCAGACTCTGTGTTATTCTAATTCGACCAAAACAACATGGTAACAGCAACTATGCTAGACGGTGCCAGCATTGCCTCACTGGCGCCCTCGGGCGGAGTTTTTCATGGCGCCCTATGAAATGTAATCCTTGGCACCACCAGAAGGCTAAATATAGCCGGAACACGTCCTAGAGTGGGATAAGGGGAATAAACTTTAATTTATTGAATTACAGAACATTGCACAGCAAGTTTTTTCCCCTCCCTCTTTGGATATCCAGAACAAAAAGTGAGGGTAGCCTATGTACGTCATGTACACAAGCTCGGGCATTGGCCAGACAACAGGTGTTTACCATAAACGTGGTCAATTGTTGAAACTAAAATTTTATTTCCTGACGATTAGACAATATTCCTGTTTAAAAATCATAGCGCTAACACTTAGAAATAGACCAAAATTGTACGTAAAACTCACTATTAATATCTCTAAATCAAATAGAAACATTTGGAAAACACATTCTACGTACATACACATCAAGAAATACCACACCAATGTGAACACGACTAACTATTGTACTGCTCCAATTGTCACAGCAATGGAAGTTGACGACGCAGCTACACAATGATCTGAACACACATCGCTAGCCTTAGGCAAGTCGATGACGAGAACTGATGGAGAGCGTATGGCCATGATTTTACTGAAGAGCGTTTGGCCAGGGAGTACTGAAGAGCGTATGGCCAGGGAGTACAGGAGAGCGTATGGCCAGGGAGTACAGGAGAGCGTATGGCCAGGGAGTACTGGAGAGCGTATGGCCAGGGAGTACTGGAGAGCGTATGGCCAGGGAGTACAGGAGAGCGTATGGCCAGGGAGTACAGGAGAGCGTATGGCCAGGGAGTACAGGAGAGCATATGGCCAGGGAGTACTGGAGAGCGTATGGCCAGGGAGTACTGGAGAGCGTATGGCCAGGGAGTACAGGAGAGCGTATGGCCAGGGAGTACAGGAGAGCGTATGGCCAGGGAGTACTGGAGAGCGTATGGCCAGGGAGTACTGGAGAGCGTATGGCCAGGGAGTACTGGAGAGCGTATGGCCAGGGAGTACAGGAGAGCGTATGGCCAGGGAGTACAGGAGAGCGTATGGCCAGGGAGTACTGGAGAGCATATCGCCAGGGAGTACAGGAGAGCGTATGGCCAGGGAGTACAGGAGAGCGTATGGCCAGGGAGTACAGGAGAGCGTATGGCCAGGGAGTACAGGAGAGCATATGGCCAGGGAGTACTGGAGAGCGTATGGCCAGGGAGTACTGGAGAGCGTATGGCCAGGGAGTACAGGAGAGTGTATGGCCAGGGAGTACAGGAGAGCGTATGGCCAGGGAGTACTGGAGAGCGTATGGCCAGGGAGTACTGGAGAGCGTATGGCCAGGGAGTACTGGAGAGCGTATGGCCAGGGAGTACAGGAGAGCATATGACCAGGGAGTACTGGAGAGCGTATGGCCAGGGAGTACTGGAGAGCGTATGGCCAGGGAGTACAGGAGAGCGTATGGCCAGGGAGTACAGGAGAGCGTATGGCCAGGGAGTACTGGAGAGCGTATGGCCAGGGAGTACTGGAGAGCGTATGGCCAGGGAGTACTGGAGAGCGTATGGCCAGGGAGTACTGGAGAGCGTATGGCCAGGGAGTACTGGAGAACGTATGGCCAGGGAGTACAGGAGAGCGTATGGCCAGGGAGTACTGGAGAGCGTATGGCCAGGGAGTACTGGAGAGCGTATGGCCAGGGAGTACTGGAGAACGTATGACCAGGGAGTACTGGAGAACGTATGGCCAGACTGATGTAAAAGCAAGTTACCCAGCCCTTAATATTTTCTTACTGTAATTCTTGTTGTCATTTGCTATGCCGTATGGTGTTAGTTCTAATACGTGGGACAAATAATAGAGTAGTAACCGGGGAAGGATGGAGGTACAGCTGGTTTGAAGATGTATTATGTATTAACCTAAGAGCTATTCTTACACTGAGAAGTTAATTGAGAGGGTGGGGGTGGGGAGATCTAGTCGGCTATGGAGAAGACGCAAGCAAGACTAAAGTACACAGTGTAGGATTGTGTGGTGAACTTAATAAAAACTGGCAAAAGTTACGGTCATAATGTCGACATGTCACTCCGGATTAGAGATCGCGGATTAGGATTATCTCAGTTTACTGGAAGTATACCGTCCAATGGGATCAGCAGAGTCACGAGAGAGGGTGTAGCTATGACAACCTAATTGACAAATCATGCAAGAGATGACAAGCTAAACAGCGGTAACGAGATACGACAAAAGCTAGAACTTCTATCCCTTGACATAACATTAGAGATACAATCATAAAATGGATTTTTCCTGGTCTCGAGATACGAACATAAAAAGGATTTTATCCTGGTCTCGAGATACGAACATAAAAAGGATTTTATCCTGGTCTCGAGATACGAACATAAAAAGGATTTTATCCTGGTCTCGAGATACGAACATAAAAAGGATTTTATCCTGGTCTCGAGATACGAACATAAAAAGGATTTTATCCTGGTCCCGAGGTACAAACATAAAAAGGATTTTATCCTGGTTCCGAGATACGAACATAAGAATCTTAACATCAGAGATTTAAAAAAAAGCAGTTTATCCTTGTCTCGAGATAAGAACATAAAAAAAGACTTTAGAGGTACGAGAAAAGAAAAGGATTTTAATCTTTGCGCTAACACTAGAGATGCCAAGATAGAGAAGTCTCTAGTGTTATTGTTCCCTTAAGTGCCCTCACTTTATCTTGTACAATGAAATCAAATCTGACTAGGGACATGGCGCATGGCAGAACAGCTTAGAATTTAAGAGATTCTTTTAAAATTATTTAGTGATCTACGAAATCTGGCTACGTTTTTCTTTAGTGTTACTTTAAGTCAATTTTAAACCTACCAGCGCAATAAAAAAAATTGTAAATAAAAAATCGAAGGTCAATTAGCAAGATGTGAAGGGACTAAGTAGATAAGGAAACTTCCAGACTCGACAGCTTCAATAGTTGCTAACAAACATCGCAGCGATAAGTAGGTCAATAGGTCAGGTGAGATCGATCTAGTCAAACAGGTACCAGAACTCGAGTCGGTGCTCAGCCACACAAGGGGAGCGAAGTTTCCAACCGGTGTTTAGTGGCGTCAACTTTCAGTGGCTTGCTTGCATTCTATCACATACAAGCGCAGCACGAAGCTTGTGAGAACATTTGAGAACGTTTAACTGTGACAAAAGTTACGTCTATAATGGCGTCAACTTTCAATGGCTTGCTTGCATTCTATCACATACAAGCGCAGCACGAAGCTTGTGAGAACATTTGAGAACGTTTAACTGTGACAAAAGTTACGTCTATAATGGCGTCAACTTTCAGTGGCTTGCTTGCATTCTATCACATACAAGCGCAGCACGAAGCTTGTGAGAACATTTGAGAACGTTTAACTATGACAAAATTTACGTCTATAATTGCGTCGACTTTCAATGGCTTGCATTTTTTTATTGCGATGCGGGCATGCTTGTGAGAACATTGGAGAACGTTAAACAATGATTAGATCGAGCCAAAGTTGTGGGGGCAAAGAGAAAATTTGAAATTTTCATGTATAAAATATTGGTGTGCGCCCTATCAGCGACATGTCAGCTACAACACCATGACTGGTTCACGCTGAGGTTCAAGCAACATCAGCTCCATAATGTTTAGTTAAATCTTATCTTATATGGCCAGCTAACTCGTTGCAGTTTTTGGTAAAAAAAATTATTCAAACATTTTAGCCGTTTTAACATTAAATAAAACTTATGATGAAATATTTGTTCAAAATACTTAAATACTAATATCAAAGATATGATGATAATGGAAGTATTCTGTATTGGTACATAGGTTGGTTTTCTCAGGTCTTAAACTAAATAAGATATCGTTTTATACTTATTAAATTCTGAAAAAAAAGTTTATTTTAACAGGCTGATAGAAGCGAGATAAGCATAAGTAAACGAGACCACACAGATACGTCCGTGTATAGACCTGCTCAAGCTACATCACTAAGTATCAACACCACCAGTGTCATTACTTCATACCACTCTGTGTAGCACGGACAATATGTTGAAACTTTACTAATGTCAACTTTGAGTAGACTATATGGCAGTCGTGTTTAGTGTATGGAACCTGGAACTGAACATTTCGGCTCGAGAGTTCCTTGGTGAATCGATATAAAACAAACATTGGTCGCACTCAGGCCAGGAGAAAAATGTGAGGAAGATATCGGCAAAGCCATCGAGATAACGCAGTACAAATAACCCCAAGGCTTTGTTTTAATGACGAGACCCAGCAATCGGGTTAGATGAGCTCGCATCGACCACACGATTAGCACGATTCTAGACAGAGTTTAGCACGATTCTAGACAGAGTTTAGAAATGCAGAATTTAGCACGATTCTAGACAGAGTTTAGAAATGCAGAGTTCAGCACGATTCTAGACAGAGTTTAGAAATGCAGAATTTAGCACGATTCTAGACAGAGTTTAGAAATGCAGAGTTCAGCATGATTCTAGACAGAGTTTAGCACGATCCTAGCCAAAGTTTAGTACGATTCTAGACAGAGTTGGGCAAGATTCTAGCTAGTATTTGACACGATTGTAGAAAATGAGTTGGGTAGGATTCTTAAAGAAATTGAAACTGCTGTCATAGCCAAAGATTTAACCTATCATTGGCATGAATATTTCTAAATAAGAACAACATGCTGCAACATTAACTTAAACTAGTATCATCTACATATCAAGTTAACCGGTAACTTTATAAGAAACAACTACAGCATTCGCGTGATACTGTTAATAAACCTCACTGTAAAAAGAAAGTTAGAAATTAAAAATGAAATTGAATAAATTTACAAATGGCTAACGACATGGAATATTGCCGTGATACCTAACTGTCTAGCCGTTACACACAGACCAATCCACCAACACAATAGAAACCAACGAGCAGTTCAATATCCATTGAGTGGAGTTGCCACCATCCCCAGGTAAATCCAGGAACACCCGACACGAGGTGCAGCCACTTGTTGCTACGTGAGGATGCCAGAGGTTGAGCAGGTACGGGAGACTTGGGCTGTACTCATTCATGCAAATAACATAACCAGTTAGCCGGGCCCGGTAATTGGAGTGCCGGTAACAGGAGAGAGAGGCGATGGGGGAGTAATTGTCTATTTAGGAAGACAAATTAAAACAAGAGAAATATCTGAGGAGACGACTCGAGTGGCTGTGCTTGTGAGAAGCCAATAAAAACCTCTGACACATTGTATCAAATTCGACGTGTACGTTATTTTTAACACGTTGATGTAAGAGGCCCAATGCTGATTCGTGTATATAGGATTGCTTATAGCATACTAGTCTTACAGCACGATTTTACCAAACAGATCCACCACTGATGATATAGTCAGAGGCCTACCAGTTATAACACTTGTTAAAATTATAAATCTTATTGGGATACGAAATAACTTTCAACATTTTAGTCGTTTTAAAACGGCTCTATTTGTAAATTCTACAAGTGTATAACAAAGTATTTTTAAAAATCTAAAACATCAATCGTAAATACCTTTCCACACAAAGCTCGCGGATAGGCATGCGTATAAAACATGACGAAGTATAACACTGTAAAGCTAACGTTACCAACACAAGCGTATAAAACATGACGAAGTATAACACTGTAAAGCTAACGTTACCAACACAAGCGTATAAAACATGACTAAGTATAACACTACTGTAAAGCTAACGTTCCCAACACAAGCGTATAAAACATGACTAAGTATAACACTGTAAAGCTAACGTTCCCAACACAAGCGTATAATACATGACCAAGTATAACACTGTAAAGCTAACGTTCCCAACACAAGCGTATAATACATGACCAAGTATAACACTGTAAATCTAACGTTCCCAACACAAGCGTATAATACATGACTAAGTATAACACTGAAAATCTAACGTTCCCAACACAAGCGTATAATACATGACTAAGTATAACACTGTAAAGCTAACGTTCCCAACACAAGCGTATAATACATGACCAAGTATAACACTGTAAAGCTAACGTTCCCAACACAAGCGTATAATACATGACCAAGTATAACACTGTAAAGCTAACGTTCCCAACACAAGCGTATAATACATGACCAAGTATAACACTGTAAATCTAACGTTCCCAACACAAGCGTATAATACATGACTAAGTATAACACTGAAAATCTAACGTTCCCAACACAAGCGTATAATACATGACTAAGTATAACACTGTAAAGCTAACGTTCCCAACAGAAACGTATATAAACATGACCAAGTATAACACTGTAAAGCTAACGTTCCCAACACAAGCGTATAATACATGACTAAGTATAACACTGTAAAGCTAACGTTCCCAACACAAGCGTATAATATACGACTAAGTATAACACTGAAAATCTAACGTTCCCAACACAAGCGTATAATACATGACCAAGTATAACACTGTAAATCTAACGTTCCCAACACACAAGATGAACAGAGCAAGCTGGAAAGTTCTCATTAGCCGGCAGGACTAACCCCACACTTGGCCAGAGTTTGACGACAGCTCGATGGATCTCATCTCCTCCGTGAAACAATATTTGATTGAGTCAATGGAACTGTACAGGTCAACACGGCGCTAACAAAAAATAATAATAAACAGATACTGGAGTCCTGGAATAGTCATCTAGTCCTCACAATGACAGAAATAATGTTTAGAGTCACAACGGAAGCCTTCAAGTGCAGGGCATATTTTGTAAGACATAGCGAAACGTGGGTAAAGATAACACTTTCAAACCTGTCAATAATTATCAATCAAGCCGGGCTTAAAAGCACATGCCATCACCGCTATAGTTGTACTAGCCACACATCCGACCACAATATCCGCCACATCTCTGTCAGACAGGTAGGCTGGCACGCCGGTACCTAGCAGGTAGAGGGCTCAGGCTGGTGGTGGGGGGGGGGGGGAGGTGGCGCCTAAGTGAGTCTAGGCGAGAGAACATGGTGGGGGAGGGGAGGCTGGATATTATTTACATTTTAATTTTGTCTTTCAGTAAACTGTTTAGATGGAGGAAAGAGGTCATTACCCAACCAGGAGTTTGTGAAATATTTTTTTTAAATACTTAAAATTCTGTTTGTGTTACTTGTATCTCGTGTGATGTGAGCCACCATGGACGTGAACCAACAGTCGCACCGAAATGACACCAACTCACAAGACTAGAAGGATAAAGCTAAAGGGTTCTGACCACATGTTGGGATCAAGCAAGCAGATAAGGGCACTTTACATATATTCAGCATGGATGTGAAACCACAAGAGGACACCTTCTCCCGTAGAACTTACATTAGGTAAACCAGGGGTCGAGAATGCCGTGTCTCAAGCGTTGGACTATTTTAAAATCTGTCAGTCAAACAACGCGTAAATCAATCTTCACGTCGCTGTGATTTGCACACATAAGTTACTGGTGCCTGGATCACGTGTTATCCCGGCCCTGAGAAAAGCTTAGAAATTAGCCAGATTAAAATACGCATATCATTAGTCCAGTGACGCAACGGGCATGTCAACATGTAGATGTCAGTACAGGTTACAGGCTTGTGGTTTCGCCGAACATTATACGACTACATATATCAGTATCGCTAAACAAATAATACGATTACATCGATGTTTCAGTATCGATAAACTAATATTACGATAACATGTTTCAGAATCACTAAAGAGATAATACAATTACGTTTTAGCATGGCAGTACTGGCAAACAAATAATACGATTACGTGCTTCAGTAAGGCAGTATCGCCAAACAAAAAAATGCGATTACATTCTCATGGTATCGCCTATCACAATACAATTAGCATAGGCTTCGCCCGATTCGTCACGTTTGGTCACATAATGGGTACTGATAATGACAACACAAACAACCTTTGTCTTGGGAGGCATATAACTCTATTGTGGGTATGAGTATTGCTGATGTCTGTCTTTAACAAACTGGAAGGGTTCAATTCAGTTTTTACTGAAAGCCCCAATAGTACGTCTGACTTACGAACCACCATCCTTACATTGTACGTCTATTAAGCGTCTAACGTGGAGGAAGATCTGACCTTATTAGAAGAAAGTATGAGCAGATGGTGGCTAGAATGGGACCAGATGTGTAACATGGTGAGCATTGATCCCGCTATTGGAGCTGTGGAATGCGCGGGGGCGGGCAGACGGGGGCTGGGGTTAAACTGTTTCCTTAACATTTAGAGATAGTGGTTAACATTGTGGTTTAACAACACATGGTGAGGGGGGGGCAAAGGATGAAGGTGGTCGGAAAATAAAGCAACATTCGGTTGTACAAATACATTATCGGTGTGTGAGTATAAATAGAATACAGTGTGTACATAAACCGTCATTTAACACTAAGCGAGAAATCAAGCCGGCCCATAACACGCGATGTAACACAAAACACATTTTTAAAACACTGAGCACGTCACAGCAACTTTACGTGAATCCAATATCCCACAATAAGGCGTAAGGTCATCTAGCTAAGATAGAGAAAAACACGTCAAGAGTTATCCCCTACATCCAGATATGAGAGAACTGGTGGGCTACACCAGGCACATGTTCTGGAGGGGCGATCACATTCCCTTAGTGGTGTCAGGGGGAGTGTGTCACACCTCAAGTGCTTCTCTACAGCCGAATGATCAATTCATTAGCTTTAGGCGCCCCCACCCCAGCACTCGTACAACAATCGAGTGTGCAGCACGTTATAAACAGACAATTACAGAGAAGCTGGTGGTAGAGCCGATGTAACACGTTAACACCAGGCCAGGATATGAAGCATAAAGATGGTGGATGGTGCAGACGTCCAAGAGGTTCATTAAGCCAAGTGGTGAGTCAAGATATGTCAAGTGTAATGCGACCAATGAGCGCTACACTTCTCATGCATGTCAGTCAGTCGTTTTAACGTCTTGATCAAAAGACGCGGCTGGGACAGGGTTGGTGGGGAGGGTTGGTGGGACGGGGTTGGTGTGGCAGCATTGGTGGGGAGAGGGTTGGGCATAGTTGGACATGGTTGGGACATGTTAGGTGGGACATGTCGGTAAGAATGGGTTGGTGTGCCTTGGTTAGGGGCAGGGATGGGGCTTTAATGGAAAAGTGTCCATAGTAAACAGGAAACATGGAAAACTACGAAACTTTTTAGTAAGTTGAAAGTATCAAATAACCTTAAGTGTATGTAACTACAAATAAATGCTCTAGATTACACATCAATTAATTAAGAGAACGTGTGTTATTATAAATTGAAATTACGAACAATAATAACCAATAAACATACTAACACAGAATCTATTTAAAGCTGAGACTGTACAATATAACTCCCTTCACATTTCCTTCTTAACACAAACTATTAGTACGGTTAGCACATTTGCTCTAGCTTAAAGTAATGTCAAACAAACCTGACAAAAATGATGGTATCTTTGTGAAGTCATCGCAACTCTTGTAGCAACCACTCCACTGTCTAGAGCCTCTACAAAATGACTGGGCGTTCAAGTGTAAGCAGAAAATTGGTACAGCTCATTCACGTTTTATACAAGTAGAGGATTTCGACATGTTAAGATCAGAAAAAGATAATGACAGCATACTCTTTAAGATCATAAAGCAACAATGACAGTTTACATGTGTACCGTCATAATATGTTTTCTTTTGAGTTGTTGTTCGTTGGGTTATGTTCTGTTCCCAAGTTGGTGCATTTAAAAAAGACTTGCCGTGGCTAGTGAGTATATATATATATATATATATATATATATATATATATATATATATATATATATATATATATACTCACTAGAGTATACGTGGCTAGTGAGTATATATATATATATATATATATATATATATATATATATATATATATATATATATATATATATATATATATATATATATATATATATATATATATATATATATATATATATATATATACTCACTAGCCACGGCAAGTCTTTTTTAAATGCACCAACTTAAAAAGTGACGCTGCTCTGTACAGAAGCAACGGAAATATCTTTGTGGACAGATCTGTAAAATCTCGTACAGTGAAACTAACGAAAGACTTAGTAGTAATCGATGCATGTTTGTCCCTGTAAAGCTTTTAGTTCTACTGGATGGTGTTGTACCTACGACGTACTTTATTCATTACGCGTGGCGTTAATTTTTATAAGACCTTGTTTGTCATGGGTTTTCTTATATCTAAAGGACCTTTCTGAATGTCATAAAGCAGTTAGGGTGGGGGGGGGGGGGGGGTGGGGGGGGGAGGCGTCTGACCTTCCGACTAACGTCAAGGTGAAAGATGGAATGTACGTTTAAACAAACGGCTCATAATGATAATACTTTCATTGCTGTGTGTATGGGATAAAAAAAATGTTGGGGTTAAGATTACCCGTGGTGTATATAAATAATAAACACAAGCTTGCACGTTCTAGAGAATGGAGACATACTTGGCTTAAGACACTAGCATTTATAGCCGCGCTAATCTAACAGAGACACACAAGAGGATAAAAAAAACCTCCCGATAAGTGAGGAATGATCCGCATATCTACAACAGTGGTCATATAACTAAACCCGACCGACTGGTCACAGATATAGTAGTCATTCGAAAAGTTGATTGTATCCCCTTGTACCAAACTAAATGCTACAACAGAATTTTAACATAATCCTGTAATTTTGTTTGCCGACTTTGCATTACATCTTACTTTTACTATTGTGTCCTTAAGGTCGCAAACTGGATGCTATATTTAAAAAAAACAACGTCAAAGATAGTTCAAGAACTTTGGATCCAAGATTCCCAGTAACACAGGGATTAGAGCGGAAATTGAAACAAGCAAAGCCAGCACGACAGCGCAGCGATCGCCTTTCAGTGAATAAATAACTGCAACTGCTGCAGTCCACGGCAGTAAAGAAAACAGTTTGAATTGTGTGGCGGTAGAGGTACAAAAGATATAAATACACGGCCGGCAATGTGTTCCAAATGAGCGGGGAGCAGCTGAAATCGAATGTGGGATAGAGAAAAGGTTAGGCGAGGTTAGGATAATATTATCCTACAGTCAGTACAGGGTAAACAAAAGGTGTTGTGGGACATCAAAGGGGAAAGTTGAAAGGACTAAGCATGGGTAGATCCAATGAGGGGAGGTTCAGTGTTTTACTCTCGTTATCCATTGCTGCTAGTTAAATGTCTCAATTATAACCTAAAGTCTAATGGAAACATTTGTAGGTGGGCGAGTATAGCAAGGAATACATTGGAACTTCGCTTGGAGGACGGTATGTTAAGGCACTTGGGGGAGGGGGGGGGGAGGGGGGGCTTGTGTCTAGGTTACGGTGCACTAGTGGCGCATTGGGGGCGTTTGTCTATTTTAGGGTGTTCTAGTGCAGCAGTGGAAGGGGGCTTGTGTCTAGTTTACGGTGCTCTAATGTAGCATTGGAGGTGGGGTGGGGCTTGTGTCTAGTTTAGGATAGCATTAGATGACCTTGTGTGTGATCGAGGGGGTAGTTTATCCTCTGGCAGTGTTCCCCCCACACAATAATCCAAATAAGATTGGTGTCTTGTAGAAAAAAAAGCAGTGCTGCACAATCAAAACTTAAGCCATTATGTTCTGACAACCTATATACGAACTAGCGCCATCTCCTATAAAGCCGCGAGCCTACGCCAGCCTTGGATAAACCAACAAGCAATAGTTAACAAAACAAACAGCCAAGATGCTACCCCGCTTGTTTGTTCAATACACAGCTTTCACGGCACCGAGGCGACATCTCTTGTCTGGTAACTGGCTCGTCAATTAAGATATCATTTCTTAGTGCTGGCCGTGTTGATGGGAAATGTAATCTGTCGCCATTCATGGGCGAGATTTACCGAAGAGTGATGGCCATGACGGTGGCTAATGGATGTGTGGGAGGAGTAGAAACGTTTGAGATCTTAAACAAATAAATAACATGTAGTGTATAATTAAGCGAAAATATTCTATGTGTTTACCCTTTACTTATAGAGCAATGTCCAAACAAAAGATGGCCCAACAAACAAAGAACATTGTGTCTGCGTCTACTTTAATCTGCTCAACTGTCCCCTTGTGCCTAGGAACCAACGATCACGACATGGAATGCGACAGAGAATGAGTCAAGGTTTTGTATTCTAGAGGTTTTAATATAACGCCACCAGGGACGTTGTGAAACAATTTTCTCAGGTAAAAAGGCGTGTAAAACGTCAAAAAACCGGCATGACGACATTAATGACCGTCAATGTCTGAATCTGGCAGGTGAATACCAAGAGGTTTTTGTACAACCACTTACAGGTAGGCCGTAGACAGGGTAGAGGTGAGGCTATTTTAACCACACGACCATTTGCTTACAGGTAGGCCGTAGGCAGGGTAGACGTGAGGCTATTTTAACCACATGACCATTACCTTACAGGTAGGCCGTAGACAGGGTACAGGTGAGGCTATTTTAACCACACGACTATTACCTTACAGGTAGGCAGTAGACAGGGTACAGGTGAGGCTATTTTAACCACACGACCATTACCTTACAGGTAGGCCGTAGACAGGTTACAGGTGAGGCTATTTTAACCACATGACCATTTGCTTACATGTAGGCAGTAGACAGGGTACAGGTGAGGCTATTTTAACCACATGACCATTTGCTTACATGTAGGCAGTAGACAGGGTACAGGTGAGGCTATTTTAACCACATGACCATTTGCTTACAGGTAGGCAGTAGACAGGGTACAGGTGAGGCTATTTTAACCAAATGACCATTTGCTTACATGTAGGCAGTAGACAGGGTAGGGGTGCGGCTATTTTAACCACACGACTATAAAGTTTGATAAAACCAAATCCCATCAATTGATAAAACAAGATCCCATCAACGCTATCAAAATGAGCAAACGAGATATGAGCACGTCACTCACGTACCAGCCAGTCAGAGAGACGCTAGAAACGTACTCACACTCCGCTATATTACAAACTACTTTTATGGGTGAACGTGCAACGATAGAATAGAGAGACCTGAAAAGATATTAAACCACCAAAAATGCGCAAACGGCCGTCTTCTTATTTGATTTTGGTTGTATTATTGGACGGGATTGCCTCCAAAACAATTAAGTATTACGTGTCAAAATGTTATACGCCATATAAGCCGATGACTCCGCTTTCAGCCTTGTTTTTTCTTCTGCATTTTCTTCCATAACATGGGTCCATCTAAGAACAAACTGCAAGGCAAAGGTTGTTTGTTTTTGTAGTTGTGTCTCCTAGATTGGTTATTGTCTACATCTATCGTGTATCATGTGCCGGGGGTTTGGAAATCGGGACTAATCGATTCAGCAACCATGAGCTTTACCGGCCCGACCACATTAACAGACTTCACAAAACGAACACACAAAAACACTATTTGAAGATACATATTTTCCTGATACATTTTTTAAAAATAATTCACCAAGTTTTATTTTATTCACTGTTGACCATTATTATTTTTTTTTATTTTCGTGGTATGTAATTTTAAGGACCACGTGAGTTAAATAAATCGTATCCTTGTCAAGGGAGAGTAACGAGCAAAATGTGACAATTTTGCAGATAAAGTAAACATGTTTTATTATCTATATGATTTCAGAACTGTTATTTAATGTTTTATTTTGTATTTGCATAAGAAGCATATTAACAAACTGATCTTATAACAATACGTGATTTCCTGTCGCCATCAGTCATGACAACCTTTATTTACAGACAACTAGTTTCAAATAAGAAATACTAAGGGACATAAGGGACTAAAGAGCCATTGTAAATTATTTTCAAGTTACTTCCCATGGTTAATCTATACTACACAACCATATATACACCAACTAGTTAAAATATTGTAGTTTTAATGTGCAGTGTAGGTGAAAAAATATTAGATTTTAGCAAATCACCCTAATCCCAAAAGTGGCAGCAGAATGAACATTTTGAAATAAAAACTGTATAGTCTTGTCAGCTTTTTGAAAAAATGTTACCCTTTCAAACCTCGCAGTCCATGGAGCAGATGAAGCCCTTTTACTTGTTTTTACGACCCTATAGAAAATGAAGGAATAGAGTGGTCACACTCTGCCCAGCTGGTTTTACTTTACCTAACTGAAGTAGTTACCCACCAGAGCTGTGTGGACATAGGGACATTCTAAGGACATAAGGACTTGAGTCTGGGATCTGAACTCGAGACTTTAAATATTAGCAGTCCTGCCCTGACCAGACCTGCCTGTTTATAAAAACTGTTAAATTGGAGGTCCTTGAGGTAAACTAGTGAAAGTAGTAACACATTTCAATATTTTGACTTTACTCTGAGTATGCAAAGCCAATACTGTATCTTAGCTTAATTCTAACTTTAGCCACTGTCTAACCAAAAAAGTAAGCTTTAGTAATTAAATGTATATAATATATACTGCACTACAAACATTTAAAATTTTCACAGGGGTGGGGTGGTGGGTGAGGATAATCGTCCCTCACGAGCTACAGATTTATTAGTGTTTTAAAGCAAAAAATTGTCAGTTGCCGCATTGGTAGTGTCGAATTTACAAATTATGAATTACTGAAAAGTAGAAAATAAACAACTAAATAGCTGTGTATGCTACACCAAGGGTTGGCTTGTTAGTGATAATAATAATATAAAAGGCATGCCTAAAATTCATAACTTAATGTAATATTGGGGTATAGGCCTAATATAAAAATATAAAATAAATTTCAGCATTATTATTATTAGGTTGTTGAGTATAGAGTAAAGACCAGTAGGCCTAATGTCAGGTTTAGTTTTATGATCAGAAATTAGGGTTTAGGCTATTGTTAGTTATAGTATGGTAGGACTTAGGTCAGGGTTTAGGTTTGCATTCACAGTAGCCTTAGCAACTAATAAATTGTAGACAATAAATTTATTGAGTTAACTAACAGTGATAATAATACTAATAGATAATAATGTCAGTGTCAGTAGGCCTACATACTACAACTGAGTAATCTATCTAACAACTCTTTAGGCATTATTGAGAATAATCTATCTAGATTAATCTAGATACTAATAGACATCTAGCCCCTAGCTACTCTATCTATCCTCTATTTAGGCAAGGCTTTAATACCTAGATCTAGGCCTATAAATTTTAAACTAGTTTAGTAAGATCTAGATTCTAGACTCAAGTAACGATTGCACTGTTGCAATAGTATTCTAATATTAGGGCCCTATTGATTTATGATTTTGATAATATTCAAGGCCTAACATAAATCCTAATTAATAAGGCTACCATGAATAGGGCCTAGGGCCTAATTAATTAAATTAGGCCTAAGCCTAATACTAGATCTAATAATAGTGAGTAAAGTAATATTTAATATAGAGTAGAGAGAGGGCCTTATAATATAAAATATTATTACCTAGGCCAAATAGCCTAATAATAATTAATTAGTATTAGGCCTAGACATAACAAAACAATTAGTTTAGTTTAGGCCATAGGCCTATATAAGAAATTTTTTTTTAATTAAAAATAAAATTAAAAAAGATTAGGCCTAGGCCCCTAGGCCTAGATCTAGGCCTAGAATTAGAATTGAAATAAATTTTAAGGCAAGGGCAATAGAATAGTCATAGATAGTGAATTGGGCATAGGGCTTATGCCTCAGACTCAGAGTCTCAGACATTGAATTGGTAGAGTGTCTAAATAAAAGTCTTAAAAATCAATAAAGTTACAGTCATCGGTGGAGTCAGCGTGAGTACTGCTGAGGAGTGAGACACGACAAGTCATGCATTCATGACAGATAAAGAAAGAAGACTGAGAGGGTGCAGGAAAACGAAACCGAACAAGCTAATATTTCATTAAAATGCACACTAACCTTTCGCAGTGTGGTCTATGTGTATAGACCCTTGAATCCAATTTGTTGCCTACATCAGCTGTTGAAAACTATATTGGTAAACATGAATGAATGTGGGAAATATTTTTAAAAATCATTCGTCTGCGCCACTCTCCCGTCAGCCTAATCACCGCAATCTCGAAAACCGGAAACGAAAATATTTGCAAAAACTATCCAAATACAATGACTATGACACAATCGAAGTCGTGAGACATAATCCCTCGTTAGCCTACCTAAGTTTTACTAACCCTTTTAAATAAACCTAAATAATAACTCTTTTTCAACTAGATTTAGATCTATAATAAAATCAATAGTATAATGATATATCGTGCAAAGCTTGGACTAGAGTGATACCCTACTCTATCAGTGTAACTAAGACTGTCTACTTTTAAGTGCTTACATTTAGTTTACTGACTTACTTTTACTCAAGTTACCAAGTATCTGCATATAGATCTAGATCTAGGGCCTATATGAAAAATAAATTTAGACTTTAGATCTTGAAAGAATAAACAGTGTGAATATAATCTTAACTTATTTTAAATTCAGTATATTATGTAAGTATATATCTACGAGCAACATTATTATAAATATGTTAGCAGCCTACTACCCAACAACCCTTAACTACCCCCCCCCCCACACACACACACACGCAATGCCCCCCCCCCTATCATGATGTAGCAACCTTCCACTCCCAATAGTAGCTCTAAATCATACCCTAATATAAACTTTCACAAACAATATGGTTTTTAAACAAGTCATCAGAAATGCACGCTTCAGTAGCTTGAGAAGGCAGGACACACCGTGTGACTTCTTCCAAGTGGGTGATACCATATTATAGTTTATTTAAAATGCGCACCCCCGGAGAAAAGTCTGGAAGAAACACTGCCTGCCTGGACTACTATACCGGGCATCACCCGACCTAGTGACGCCAATGGCTTGTTTTAAACACACTGTGCTTCACAAACACAACACAACAAAAATTAAACAACATAAACACTATACAACCAAAGGGCACAGAAAGAAAAAAAAAATCACAATACTCAAAAACTCAATAACAGCACGTGTGGTTCAGGCATTTCAGTTTCTATTCAGGTCATCCAGAGGCTGAATTTATATGCATGTTTTAAAAAAATTAAGTCTTTAGAAGCTATACATTTTGATTGCATTATATTGATACAGTAACATTGCAGTGATTTCAGCTTTAAAATTAATTTTACTTTGGCAGGAACAAAAACAAGAATATGTTAGAAAAGGAATTTTTCCCTAAGTTGAGATTTTCCTCATAGAACAGTTACTAATATTCACTTAATGCCTTCAAGCAGATGCAGGAATATAGTTGTTTCTTATAGTAACGTGTACCACAATTAGCCTGTTTTGGTTGATGTAAGAATTGTATTCTGTTTAAGGCCTACTGCATGTACATATACAAATATACTTTGTCATATAACAGCATTCTAAAATAAGAATAAAAAGAAGCTCAGTTAAATGATTAATTTTTTAATTGATTACTATTTTACAAACTAAAAAATTAATAACACTGGTATTCACAAGCAAACTTTATTACTTTATAAATATCCAATAATATTGAAACATTATAACATATTTCGTGACATGAGTAATAAAGAAATAATTCTAAAATAAAGTTTCAGTATTATTTTATTTAGATGTCTACATATTCAATGAAATTATAAGCTAAGTGGGTTTTTTTTTTTAAAGAAGAGCTTTATTCCTAAACAAAACAGTTTAGTTTGATGTGTGTCTTGATAAATTGTGTCTGTAATTAGAATATTCTCTATAAAAATTTTAACAAGTTAAATAATAAATAAAGGACCAGATGTTAGGGCTGTGTAGGTAGTGCACAATTTATTTTACATACATTCTGTGGCTCATTAGGGAACTTCTTTAACAATGCTTCAAGAGAACACTTGTATTAAGCTTATAGAGAACAATAATAATGTATCATGATGGGAATCTAGAACTAATGTTTTCAGAATTTATTACAATCTACCGCTATTTAGCCTTAAATACAGAAGTGTAATCTGGGACATGTAGGGTCTCCCCTAAATCTAAAATGATCAGATTGTAAAGGAAAAAATTAATACATCCGAAAGTAACAAAAGTCTCAGGGACAATAAATTATTATGATTTGATATATACAACCAACATGAAAGAATGTAATAGATATTGATTCTTTTACTAGACCTGACTAAAATGAAGTTTGATGGTTAAGACTTAAGAGATAATTAAATGTGTTAGCTATTGCTATAGTTTTAATTCAGTAAATGTTTAACCTATAGAAACTAATTTCTCTGTTGCAATTAACATTTTAAAGTAAACTGACTTAAACATCCTGAGTTTTCTTCCTGCACTTAAATCACAAATGTCAATTTCTTCTCTCAATCATGAGAAAGAGTAGAAAAGCAAGAAACTAAAGTGAAAAGTTACATCTTTCAAACATTTACCCACTTAAAATTAGGCCCTCATTTTTCCTAAAAGACTGAATTTTTTTCAAAGAAGTATAGTTCATGATTGTGTTAATAAGTTTGGCTCTTTCAATGAAGTTTTTAATTAAGTCAGATCTTTTCCACAATTTACTTTATTGGGAATGCTCATTAACAACTCTAAATTTTAATATACATTTGTATTATGTAAAATCTAAACATATACAATGATTATTTTGAGTCATTTCAAGGCACAAACACTATAGTGGGTCCAAATGAGACAGACTACTAAAAATTAACATTTACAAAACTAGTTAAGCTATTTATGGCTCAACACATTTAGAATTTACTGGATATTGAAACCAATGTAAAACTGTAAGCAAAATGTTTTACATGCAGAATGAACTCTGAAAGCTTTCTCAATAATAGTAATAGAAATTTCTTTATAACATAAGTATAACTCTATACAGCAAAAATAGTATATTATGAACAGTGATAAATATTTTTATCACATCCATGACTAAGCTCTTCACACTCCATTCTTGCCTCCAGTCAGACAGTCTTTGTTTCTTTTATTTAAAGGCTTATAATTGTACATTTGTAAACAGTGCAGACTATACAGCTCTATGTGCACATTTTAAACAAGCTAATCATTTTAATTACATCTTTATACAGGGACATTTCTCAAGTGCTCAATAAAAATCAAATTATGGCTTTTAAATAAGGAATTCAAACTATTATAATCTCACTGTCAAAGTTGATAACTTGTGGTTCTCAATTTGACAACTTAACTTTAAGAAAAAACAATACATTTTTACATTTGGAAACAACAGAATAATTATCTTGAAGAAATCATAATCCATGTACAAAGTGTTAATTTCCACTGAGGAAGAATGCACTACACAAGGTGAATTGAATTATATTTACATTGACCGTTAGGCAATCAGCACCAATGGCATGTCAAAGGAAATTATTTCATGCAACAGGGTCCTTGTTCCAAGCCAAAATATTTTTAGAATGGTTTCATAACCACACACCCAATTTCTAATAATTTAAAGTGTTGTTATGGAATGCTTAAACTATAATCAAGGTCAACTTGCAGAAATAAGTTTTAAAAATATTTGTAAAAAGTTTCAAAATCAGTTATCAATGACCATTTAAGAAAATCAGACATACTGACACAACCCTTTCTTATTCTCAAGAACTTTTTGTACTAGCTATCTTTAAACAAGCAGTTAGAATACAAAATTTCAACAAGCAGAGTATGTATGATATGATTGAACAAAATTACGTTTTTAAATTAGGTAAATTATCATAAAATTATTTTCAAGAACTGATAATATTAAGTAATAGTCTACAATTGTTTAATCCACCTGAAACCAATTACATTTAAACTACTATAAGCTGTATATGTTATATGTTTGCAAATTACCCATTACCTGCTTTGTTATTATATACTGTTTAGTAAAAAGATAATTTTAGATGTTTAAAAGTGGTGTACCAATCTGTTTAAGTTGAAATCACTCAATATTTTCTTCTCTATATGTTCTGTTTACAGAATCTATTTAAAACAGGCGATCTAAAGTAATATCCAAAACAGTAATATCCAAAGACAGTTTAAACTTTATATATACATACAAGAAGTGTCCCCCTTTTCAAACATATTTTGGCATCACAATGTATTTTTTGAACATTAACGCCTATGTAATTGCTACAAATTAAATTTAAACCAAATTTAAAAGGATAATTGTTTTGAATGAGTTAACAGTGTGAAATCTAAAATGTAGCACAATTATATGATTCAGAAAATAAAATAATAAAATTGCAATTAATTAGGTTTATTTTTAAAGCCAATTGTAGTTTTTATGGAAGAAATGTTCAACTAAGTATAAATTATGATAAAGAAAACAGTACAAATTAAATCTTGGCACTAGTAAAATTCTTTTAATTAAAGTGAAGGCTTTATTAATATAATCCTATAGATAATTTCTATTAGTCTAGACTACTAAACGTAAATCCAGTTAACTAGTTTGTTTCCATGTCATCTTCTTCACTTGCAGCTCCAACTCCATTAGGGATGTTAGGATCACTGTGCTTCATTGAGGTGGAACTGGTGGTTTCAGTAAATGTTTGTACTTTGTTTGCCCTTTGAGATTTCCTGCTTTGATTGAGTGATTTCCGTTGATATACCAGAACATACGCTGCTTTTGTCTAAAACACAATAAAATAATTATAAGATACAATTTGAACCCATTCAAAAGATTACAATGTTGATATTAAAAATAGATAATAGAGGTCTTTCAACACAAGGGGCTGCTGTTTTTGGGAATCTTCCAAAAGTACAAGTTATTTTATTCTTTAATAACTAATTGACAGCAATAGTTTATGATAGCTGTATTAATTTTCTTTATATCTAGAAATTTGTAGCATAGGTTTGGACTTAAAAAAAATAGTAGAGTGGAGAATTGGAAGAATTATTTGTATCTTGTACTGCTCAACCATTCCAATAAAAACAAAAAATATTTCAGGCAATTTACTTATTATTGGGTTTTTATTTAATATGTTTATCTAGATAAAATGTATTGGTGTCTTAAAAATTAATTATTCTTTACCACCACTGTCATAATGATGTGGGACAGAGTTTAGTATCAATGCTTCTGTCTAAAAGGATTAAGGGGTTTAACAAAAATGTTCAATACTTGCCAAAAATTGGTTGTTTTTAAAAAATGTGCTTAATTGATCCAGTTATACAATTACATATCACTAAGAAAGTATGTAAAAAAAAAGTCTATTCTCCCAGTGATGCCACTAAACTCCTTTATTTACAAAACCAAACATTGGGTGTGTGTGTATAAATAGCATAATGCTATAAACTGAAATTTTCTAACAAAAACTAGCTGCAAATACTTACAACAACAGACTCAGCAGAAGAAGCTGTAACGCTTGAGTCATCAAAATAGTACCAGCTTCCATCATCTTTGTTCATGGCATAAGCTGTGTCTGAGAATTAAAATGTTGAACCATGTTTAGATTGTATCTCATTAATGATAAGATCAATTTTAAATGTAAATCCATCGTGGAAACAAACCACCACTTGTAAAACCTTAACAAAACTAGGTTGTGTTTATTCTCAAAATAATAAACATGTTCTAAAGTCACATTTTACTTCAATAATGGCAATAGTAACAATTTTAGAAGAGAACTTCGTCAAATTAAAACAGTATAAAAACAATTCATCAGTTCAGATCCATAGCAACTATTTTATTAAATATTGATCCTCCACTTCAGCCTCTTTGACTTGTGCTGCACCTGTGTTACCCAAATTTTCCTAAAAACCTCCAACAAAATTGACCTTAAGATTGTAAATTGCAACAGATTCCCTTATAAAAAGAGCAGGGTCAAAACTATATTCTTCATAATTCTGGTATACAGAGAAAAGGAGAAATGTAATAGTACAAAAATTAAAAATAAAGATTTTAACTAATCTTGACTCCTTACACACTCCTGGGTCAGAACAACTCAGTTTTGAAGTTTTATTTGAATGTGTGTTGTGCCTGTGTAAACTTGCTTATCTCAGTTGGGTGGATGAAATTTCATATTAAAATGTTAGATTTCATCTATAGTTTCTATCAAATTAAGTGATCAGCAGTTACTCAAAAACCATCAGTTTGATCATTTTATATCATATTCTCATAAAGCTGCATATTCTAAGAACTTTTAGCCTTTAATGAGTTCTCAGAAAAACTATTTCATTGCAAGTGCTATCCACACTCTTACTGTTACATGTATGAATGCACCGTCAAAACAGCCAGGACAAATCGACCCCGTTAAATCAACTCCCGTCAAAATGGCCTAGTCAAAATAGCCCTGTCAAATGGGCACCTACTTATTGGCTCCCGTCATAGTGGCTCGCGACATTTAGGCTCCGGACAAATGGACTCCCAACATATTGGCTACCGACGAATGGGCTCCCGACATAATAGCTCCAGACAAATTGAATCTCGTGACCAATATTGGCATAAAAGTAACCACTTTGTCCTACCTCCAATACCACTATGACCTCTTTTAAATGCCGGAACGAAATTGTTTTTCATGAACCAACATCAACTCACACAAAAATCGAGCCCTTAACAGCTAAATTCCACAGCTAAATTTTGACAATGTTAATTTACAACAGTAAAGATCCGTTGCTTAAAAAACGAGCACAGAAGAAACTATATGACGGGATCTTATATGACGGAATCCATATGTCGCTAGCCCTGTCAAAACCCGTTTTGACGCCGCACAGTATGAATGAATATTTGAGAAAGTTTAGAGCTTTATCCAGCTTTGTGGTGTTTTAGATTCAATACTTACTATCACTTATAATATAATGTTAGGAACGGATGTGTGAAAACAATTGTAGAAACATAACTTACAGTGGCCACCTCCTAATCCTCCATAATGATTGGTTACAGCTATGAGATCATACACATCACATTCATTTGATTCTTCATTGATAATATATTTACGCAGATCCAAACCACTGGGGAGAATCAATTTAAAATTATCTTAAAATTGATTGCAATTTACAAACTGAAATTGACATGCCATATTTTAAAAGCCAAGTATTGTCTTAACAGTTACAATAATGTGATAAATATTTTCAAAAGAAATTTAATTAAACTACATACTGTGTTGGGAACTCAACTAGTACATCAATTTTGTCTCTCCAGTATTTATTATAAGAAAATCTTTTCAAATGTATGATAAGGACATCTGGTAGTGACCAAAGATCAAATTTTTTGGTTGCTTGCTTGTGTTGTTCACAATCTGGACAGTACCTATAATTGAACATTAAAATTGTTGAAATATTTTTCTCTAGTCAATAGACAGATAAATTATTTGCTTAAAATGTTTAAACACAAACATACCATGGATCTTTATCACTTAGCTGTTCTTCCTTCATAAACAATTTTAAGCAGTCATCCAGTTGAATAACTGTCTTCTTTTGACCAGGACGTGCTTTCATGCTGTCATGCTCTTCAAATTCCTGCAATAAATTTAATAAAATATTTAAAAGGCACTACTCTGTAACACAGAAGCAATCATCATTCAGCATGAACTTAAAGAAAAAACAAATACCTCAGCAGCTTTCTCATCAAAGAATCTATCTTTGGCTGCTTTACTCCAATCCACAGCTATGTATGTTCGATCTAGGAAAAATAAACATTGATACAATTTTAAAATAGATTTAATGAATACTGTATTAATACTATTAGTAGTATTATTGATATTGTTATTTTATTAAAGACATACTTGTTATTCTCAAGGGCTTTCCATCGTCTGCCAAAATTGTACCATTCTCATCCCTTCCAAAATTATTTGCTGCTCGTAAAGCAAAGATACGCTTGCCTCTAACTGCTGGCAACAAGGATGAACATGAAGCTACATCATTTTCTTGACCAAGTTTATTGTTGGAAGAATTAACTGTCTCTATTTGAACAGCTGTTGTCTCCATTTCATACTCTGCACAAATAAGATAGAACAATTGATGTCTATAGAGTGACACATTTTCTACACATCTTAAATTACCTAAACATTTCTTTACCATTCACAGAGTGACCATTACTGGCTTCTCCTCCATCCTCTTCTAAAGTCCCATTACTGGCACCACAATAAGAGGAGTTTGTATTGGCAGATGATGTGTCATCTTCTTCATCATCATCTAATGGCTCTTCTTCCCAGTCATCTAGTGATTCAGGTATCTTGACATAACGTCTGTAAAAATGGTTTAATTACATTAATGATTGGAATATTAATTATTTTAAGTGTTTGTTTTTTTCAAATGTAATATTTATCAGACCATTTACTTACGACATTCTTTTTAAGAGCAGTTGATACAATGTTTCATATGTACAGGAGTTTCTATGAACAGCTAACAACATTGGATGGCCAAATAAAGGCTGACTGGATACTGAATTGCGATCAGGTGCACCATTTCTGCAAACATATTTTACATTATTTTCAGAAACAATTCACGAAACAATAATGTGCTATTAATTTTAAATACTGATGCCATTCCATTTTTGAAAATGAAACCATTGCTTTACTTACTTTTTATCTCTAAGGTAGATTGGCAGTACCATAGTATCTTCAACATTACTGCTAGGTATCTCATAACTGAAAAACAAGACTCATAATTAGTACTAAATAAAAATGAAAAAGACACGTTACTGTGGATACTACAAAAGTCTGATAAAAAAAAGGCCCTAAACTGCCAATCTTAAACTGAGATTATTTAATTATCTCTCTGTGTCCATTGTCGCACAAGGCTACCAGAGGTTATATAATGGTCACTATTGCTTAATCTCTAAAAATAAAAAATGTACAAGCTTATTAAATAAAAACATACACAAATATGTCATCTCTGTCCAATATATTATTTACTCCTTCTTCCATGTTAAAAATTTTATGAAATCTATGGTTGTAGACATCTGTGACTACCATCTGGAAAAAATAGATTATATCGTAGAGTAGATTCTTTATATAGATTCATAAAGGCCTACTAACTAAACCCCACATTTAAACACTAGAAGCAAGCTATGATGTAATAAAATGATAATTTATTATATGTTAAAAGCTTTAAGTTCTTGGCACATAGAATTATAACAAAGAACAAAGGCAGTGGACAAAGTCAGTCATTTAAAAATTGAAATTTTTAATACAGCCTTTTATAACTTCAACTTACTTAGCAATAAAAGATTTTATAATTTTAAAAAGAAAGTAAAAATACAATGTATGTGATGATAGTTATTTTTTACCCTATCAGATGGGACATCTACTTGAGCTGACAATGCTGAACATAGGTCTCTGATGCTGCCTGCTTTAGGCACAGTCAGTTTTAGCTAAATATTAATTGTAAATATTATTTTTTATACTTTTAAAAATAATATATAACCAAAAACTAATTCTACTGGGTTATGACACAATAGTTCAATTTCAATTTTTTTTTCATATAATATCCTACAATTCAAATAAGAAATTTTTTTTAAAATTTAGATAAATTAAGTTTAGATACCTGCATAGGTTTTTTTTCTGGAGGAAGAGGCACCCATATCACTTCCATTTGTCGTTCTTTTTTAATAGGAAGTGGTAATGATAGATAACAGAATGGATCAAAAGTAACTGAAATTTTTTCACAGTCAGGACATCGAACTGTTGATTTAAGAAGAGCATGGAAAATATCTACAATGACAGAATCATTCCTTTTCTTATAGTTGTCCCATGCTTCTTTTGCAACAATCTGAAAAAAATAAAACAACACAAAAACATGAATTAACTAAAAAAGCATTATAAGATTTAAGCAAATAGCATTAGTAAATGCAGATGGAAATTACCTTGTCAGGTCTTCCACCTGAGTCTTTAAGTTCAATGTAAGGTTTTTTCCTGATTCTGTTAAGGTCTTCATGAAGTCCATCTAACAAAAAAGCCATCAATTCCTGGGAATCTTGTTGCTGATATCCTGAAAATTGGGGTGCGAATCTTCCTACTGCAATCTGGATGGTAGAGAATTTTGAAGTATGATTAAACAAAATGTATTATTGAAACAGTCAATAAATTCTTTTCTTTAGGTAAAATTATGTAATCTGCTCCTTAGATGACACATATGCATAGCAAAATTGGATATATATTTAAAAAAGCAGGGGTCATTTCAATTTTACCTTGAAATTTCTAGGCACAGTATAGCTTTTGTGTCCTGACCAAATGTCCCTGATAAGTTCAGCATATGTGTTGGCTATTTCACCCCTCATGCCTAAGGGATTTTCTTTATTAAGCTCCTTCTCCCACACATTACTCAGCATATAGTCTGTAAGGCGGCCAACATTGCTCATGCACTGTAGACATTTGACAGAGAAATAAATATACGTAATGACACAAGATCCACTACAATAGCACAAAAAATCTTTTATTTCTGTTGTATAAGAGTATTTTTAACACAGAATGCACTGAAATTATGCATAGTGAATTGACAATTGATTGGCATTAAAATATTTGCACCTAAAAATGTTGAATACAGCCCGTAATTGCTACTTTTTAACTAAAAAGCTGAATGCAATTGTTTTAAAGCTTGAGTACTGAATCATTAAAAAGTACATTAGCTCAAATAAAATGCATAGTATATAGATATACACACCTGTAAAGCAGAATTCATAAAACATGTGTTGCCTAAATTAGCTAGGCCACATAGCCCTGGTTTACTGCTGTTACTGCGATCATAGCCATTGTTGCTGTAAAAGTTATTAACACTATTGCTAGTGTAGCTACTTGTACTTGTTGCTTGACTACTTGAATCATAGGTTGATGACCCACTTGCACCAGTGTAACCAGCTCTATTGAGGTAGAAAATGTTATGGCATTTAAGCAGGCAAAAATAAGTAGTTCAACAATAAGCTAGGAACAGAAAAATTTATAACTTTGAATTTTTTAAATTATTTAAAGCTCTGGTGATAATAAACAAGGTGTCCACAAACAAAATATTGTCATACGGCAATATTGCCATAATAGACTATTTAGTCTTGCAGCAGTAACATATTCAATACATGAAGTATCATAATCACTGTGCCAGTGACTGTAAAACAACAGATTAATACTTTTATTTATCACTTATTTTGTTGTATTGTAAATAGATACACTTTAACAGTATTATTATGTTGTATTGTAAATAGATACACTTTAATTAGTAAAAATGTATCAACACCTCAGCCTAGTGATTAAGCACATGACCTTATTTCTTTTACAGAAAGCTTTTACCTGTTAGATGAATATGTTGTACTAGGGGTGGAACCATATGAGCTAGCACTGTGAGTGTAGTAACAATGGGGAAAAAAAAACAGAACTAATGAGAAGGTTTCAATTTTTAAAAATTAACCTTAGTCTAAGTAACCTTACATGCCCAAGCAAAAATTATTCTATTTAATAATATAATACAATATTTAAAATATAAAAGACAAAACACTAGCTTTGAATGTATATTTTAACTAATAAGCTCAATCCATAGTATTTAACAATGATTTTAAATTGAGACATATTTTATTAATACACTACACTGTAAGTTTTAAAAAAAATACCTTTTAGCTTGTCTTGGCCATGTGCCATCTTCATTTTTCTCTTCAATTACAATAACCTAAAATTTTAATTAGCAAATAATTAGAGTAAACCTTTTAAATTTATAAAATCTTCAAAAAATAATTCTTAAGTAATGTACATCAATAAGTCATAATTACTTATAAATGTGTATTACCTGCCCCTGGTACAAACCAGCATCTTGTAATGAGACATCTTTTTTAGTCAACAACTCATAGGTATTGCTCATGTAACGATTCCAAAGTCGTACTTCTTTATTATCAGGGATAGAAAAAAGCCTGCGCATTTCCTGTTCAATTGTAGCTGAAAATTGATAAAATTAATCTACAAATAGTTTAAATTTTACTCTTACGGATATTTTTTACATAAGTACAATACTATACATCCAACAAGAATTATTTACATTGCAAATTTTGCAGAAAATAAGGATATGAATGCAAAAAAATGTGATACCACTTCATACCAATAGTATCAGCTCTACTGAAGGCATGTGTTATCACAGTTGTAACATCTGAGTTGTTGCTTAATTTCAGTTCCATCATATACACTTCAACTTTACAATGTTTAACAAACATTCCTTGCTCTATGACTTTTCTGACGATGGGTTGCTGATTGGAAGAAAATAAATTCAAAAATATACCACCAAATTAAGATGACCAAAAAAGAATCTAACCCTACACTATTTAAAACAAAAACAATTTACAAAATCTAGAAAAAATAATTTTTTATTGCACTATTAATTCCTATTAACATAATCTGACACAACTATGCAATAACTAAATGTTCCACTTTTTTAAAGATTTTGGATGACACCTACTGGCTAGGCATTATTCCATGTTTAGTAAATTCATCTTTATTAACCATTAATGTCCCGTAACGCCCGCTGCCGCCCGACACCGTTAATGTCCCGTAACGCCCGCTGCCGCCCGCTTACAATACGCATAGAAAAATTAAATTTGTTTCATTAAAATTTGGCCTACAAATCCTAATTTTTAACTAAACAGGAAGTCGGATACTTTCAGCATCCTTTTCCGGTCTTCTAATTTCAATGGCGCTTTTGGAAGATAAAAAATAATAGTTTCTTTCCATCTCGAAATTTTAGACTCATCTGTCCAATTTTTAGTTGATTTAATATTAAAAATAAAATAAAATAATGCCTCTAAACGTATCTAGGCATGTATTTTATGAATTATATATCTTAAAGATAATCAAATTGATATTTAACTGTTAAATTCGATGCATAGCTGTTTAGACAAAAATAAATAAAGTTGACTACCGAAAATGACTTGTTTTGAATTTTCTCCGACATTTTTTATTTTTATTCTGTACTTGTACCGAATATAATATATTCTATTTAATACTGTTTGAAAGCCAGGTTTATTCCCAACACTAAGCAGTAGTTTTTATCTTAATTTTCAATTTAATTTAGACAAAAACAAATATTTTGTGAAACTATTCACTTGATCACACAGAGTTATGCTCCTTACATTGGGCCGTCATGGGTGGAGTTTTGGTAGAATGAATGGGACATTAATGGTTAATGTAATTCTCTGAGCTAAGCTAAAAGTAATAAAAAATAAACTATTTACCTGACCAGGAGCAACACCATACCATGAAGACAGTTTTTTGTAAGCGTCAGCAGACAGCAATATATAATCTAGATCATCTACTAAGTGTTCTCGCAGTACATTAGTGTCAGCTGTAAAAGGTGAAAATACTGAACATGTTTAATTTTGAAAACACAAGCTAATAAAATAAATTGTATTTGAATTTCAAAGCACGAATTAATAGCTGTAAAAAAAAAGTCTTACGTTTAAATAAAGAAGAGTTATCGATTGGCCCTGGGTGAACAGACTGGTCCCCTACATTGTATGAATCCCACTGATCATATCCTACATACTTTTTCCACTGTTTGAACCACCGAACATCAATCAAGTACCTAAGTAAAATATTTTAGTATGTTTTAATCAATACATTCAATAGAAGATAGGAATCAATAATAATATCTTTAATTAAAGAATACTTTAGGATTATTTTTAATAAAATGAATTTTACAAATGGATATACACACAGAGCCTTAATATTTGAAAAATAACTAATACAAACATCAGTTGTCATATAAAGATTTTTTGGCCAAAATTCCTTGTTGTATTAGTGCTAGGGTAATAATACTAATGAAAACAGAGTTTAATACAATATCTTGTGCCAAATTAGATCTTTTTTACAACTTCTTATACCAGATGTCAAAACCTTTGTTAAATTATTTCTTCCTGTAATATATTCCCTATATAATACAAACTAAAAAGTACATTCATTAAGTACACAACCAAACTGAATGCCCAAACTCATTTAGGACTCAAATATTTTAGATTCAACATATTCTTTAATGCATCAGATTATGTAAAAAAAAAAAACTGTAAACCGCTACACAACTCATCCCTGTATAACCACAATGGATTTTCTTATTCTGCCCCTTTACTTTTTCTTTGTGGGTTCAAATTTAGTCTTGTTTGGTAATATGTCGTCCTTTCCTAATTCTCAGTGTGTGCCAGGTCCATCCCCACTTGTAGGTTTTGATGTCCTGGTCAATGGGGCGGTGCCATGTACTTTGCCACAGGTGTTCAAAGAAAATTTTATCTGGCCATCTTATTTTAAGAATTTGTGGTGTTTGATTTTCTATAGTAGTACTGCAGATTCTAATCTTGCTCTTGCCCTGCTTTTTAGGTCTTTATCTGATACCCAGTCTTTATTCCCAAACATGTGAATTAGTTGAACTCTAATATTTCATTTCCATTTAGCTTGATGTGAATGTTCCGGATGCTATTGATTCTGACACCCTCTAAAAATGTTTCGCTTCTGTTTTTTTAGTTCTATTTTGGAGGCTTATTCTGATAGTTTATGATTGGTTTAAGCATGTTTATGAGTTATGAGGCAGATAACATCAAAATTAAGATCTTCCAGCTTTTTAGTTATTTCATTGCGATTTTATATAACTGGTAGTCTTCGCCATTATCCGCTAGAAATTAAAATTTACCAATTTTAGGCCAGGAAACATGACTAGATCGTTAGATCTAGATAGATATTTTTGGGGGATAGGCTACCGTCCTGTTTTTAAAGGCCCATCATAAATAAAGGTAAAATAATAAAAGGCTTGATCTGACTCGTAAGCTAAACAGTTTTTGTATTTTACTTTTCATTCCGACCTGTACCACCAGTCCCGTCATGAAAAGAAGACAGAGAAATAGAAAATAAAATAGCAGCCAATTTGATCTACGTTTAGGTTAAGTATATGTTTTAGAAAATAAAGATCGAAGGGAACTAATAGATAGTGTAACATATATACCATGATTCTCCTTTTTTAAGACTTTGGCCTAAGTATTCTTCAATTGTTTTCTTCTGGGTTGCTAGTTCTAAATCCGGTGGGCCTCCTTCCGCCATTTTGCTTCTTCTTTACGGAAGTTACGTCAAAAATGGGTAGGAGAAAGTTAAGTGAGGAAGTTTAAAAAAGTGACTTCCCTAGCCTAGCAGATCTAGAGCAGTGGTTCTTAACCTTTTTTTTTTTTTTTGTACGAACACCACCAGCTTTGTAATCGCATTCACCGAACCCCTCTTAATAGAAAAAAAAATCAAATATGATTTTTAAAAATTCATAACATAGGTAGATCTACATCTAGATTTATATATTTTCTAATGCACAAAATGAACCGTGCATCAACACCACTGTGTTAAAAGAGCAAAACCATTAAAAAATTGTTAAAAACATGTAATAACGAATAGGCCCCTATTTACTGCAATGTGTGTTCTACCTCACTATTACGGAGGGTGAATACAGTGTTTCTTCCAGACTTTTTTCTCCGGGGGTGGGGTGGGGGGAGACTAAATTCTCCAGGGGGGGGGGGGGGACACTGGTAAAAGTATATAGTTTTTCTATATAAATTGCGTTCGGGGGAGGGGGGGGGGGGCGGTAGACTTTCGATCAAGCGCCCACAGAGCGTCAAGTCCTTGCTGTATCCAGCTTTCTGTAACCAACCAGTTGAAAATTAAGCTCCTTTCGAATATTTAACTCCAGATATGCATACATCACTTGCAGTTGATTAAAATCCTATCTTTTCAATAATTAGCTCTGTATACTCTCCCCACATTTAACTCTGGCTGTACATTTAGCTCTCGCCATGCAGTACGCTTGCCTTATCCACATAAGGGATCGTCCATAAATGACGTAACGCTTTTTTGGCCAACGTCATACATCGTCACCAAAGTCTGACCCCCCCCCCCCCCCCCCCCCCCAGGCGTGTGACTTTGTGACGTCATTTATGGACAACCCTTAAGGCCTATATGTAGGTAATTGTTTTATTTACGTGTTAAATTTTTTAAAGAGCTATATAGATCGGGAACCCATAGGTCGCTAATAAAGTTTCAATTTGAGGGGGGCTTGTTTGTCGTAATATTTTTGTCGAGGGATTGTTAGTTGGATTCTACTTAAATTAACCGTTTCGCGTCCTTTTTTTTCTTGGCGATTTGTTGGTACTGTTAATCACATTGAGCATATCAAGCGCCGATATAAGAGTTACGTCTGAAAGTTACTCTAAAAGTCAATCTGCAACGACGTGCACGAGCATACATTTCCCGAAACACTTTTAAAGCTCTGGGAGTGAAGTCGTTGTTGAGTTACAATGGGAAAGATTCCAAAGAGATGAGTATAACGAATTTTAAAAAATATATCGCTAGTATAAACTAACAACAGTATAAATCAATAAAATTGGAGTAACTAGATCTACAACTTTTATTATCTAAAACTGCTTTTAACGACGAAAATACACTTTTATTTCATTGAAAACTCGTGAAACAATATATTCTAAGCTTTTTTCTGAGTATCATAGAAAGCGCGTAAAGACGTCAATCATTCAGGCCATAGTCTTTGAATTTTCTTTTCAATAAGCTCTATGAGTTTGTGTCTAAAGTTCATCCAATATAGATCTTTAAAAACATCTTTGGAAATTTTCGAGATAATTGTATAAAAATAAAACTTTTAGGCCCTATTTCAATGTTTGTGTGCGGATTTTTGTTATTTTGGGCCGCCTAACAGGTTCACCCACTCTACGTATTCCGGCTGCATAATAGTTTCGCCAACAAATGAACGCGTCGCCCCCCCCCCCTCCCTTCCCACCTTCTTATTTTGCTAGATAAAGGAGTGTAAAAAGTCATGGAAGTCGTTTAAAGGTTTGACTGTCTTTCATACTACAGTTGTTGTTATTTTGTTCAACTCATTAAAATTGTTTCTGACTTTCTCATGGATTATCTAAATGCCTTCGAAAAAATCTAAGCATGCAAAACGCAATGAATTCTGCAATTAAAAATGAGACAATAGACACTTTTGACCACTGAGTTAAATGACATTTTAAACAAATTATATTCAACCTCATCCGTGTACAGTCAGGTTCAAATGGGTAATTTTTCCCCACTGTACTAAGATGTTCAACAAAAGGCGAGTTTTCATGATATCTAATTTTATTGTAAGGGGATAACTTTGGCACCTAAAAGTAAAGCATTAGATTTAGAACAGCTAATTATTTTGTCCAGGTCGCATAACGGGGCCGCTAATGTCAGATATAAACACAACTGCAATCAAAACCAGTTCAGTCATCGGACTTGTGGGACGCAGCAGAAGATCAGTTGAGAAAGAAATAAAGTTTAGACTACATTCTTTGATGGGACGGATTGGCCTAAGCACTAGAGCTCGAGTTCGTATCCGGAAGTAAGTAAAACGTCACTGAGTCCACCCAGCTCCGATGAGTAGGCCTACCTAACTCAAGGCTGGACAAAGTGCCGACCACACCTTCCGAGGTCAAGAAACACATGAGCTTTACTCCATCTGCCCAATGGATCGCGTCATAAAAGGAGTTTTTTTTCTTCTTTATATTAATTGATCTACGAATACCCGTGTAACGTTAGAAAAACTTAAGGCGGCTAGACATCCTAATATATAGAAGTCCATGTGCGTACTTCTCTCTCTCTGTCCGCAAAATATTTTCACAGGCTATCATATCAGTATCTTCAGCGATATATGGAGAACTTGATGCGGACTTTTGTTGAAAATAATATGGTAGATGCTTTAAATGTATAAACAACATAAAAAAATAAAAATAAAGGCATATTCGAATGTAGAAAAACAATTTTAATTATGCAACTGGAAAAATGTTTATAGTTGTGACAAGAACGCCGAAATCGATGACGTCACACGTCATATGTTTGAAGTACGGAAAGTACACAAAACCTATGGCGTCATCTTCCAATTTTAGAATAGGAAGAAATGAAGTATTTATTAAAATTTGATTTAGATCTATAGAATTACTTATCGAGACGTAATTTATGAAATTTATACAATTGCCTCGGCCAAAACTAATACAAATTACTTTAAAAAACAACATAAATACCATTGAAAAGCCGGGTTTTTTAAATGGAATCATTTGTCTTTTGATCAATTGTGCATTTAATATGGTGTTGTGTTGACTAATTATGTATATAATTTGGTTTTATTTTTTCTGATAGGTATTAGTAGCCTATGTTATTTTAAATGTGTCGGACTTTTAGCTATTTAGTTATTTCTTTGCTTTGTCACTAATAAAGCACATTGCGTTTTGACCAGTAGCTATTGTATAAAATATTCTTCTAAAAAATATATAACATTAAAAATACAATGACCTATAATTCACGTATAACGGGTACCGACGGCTTATAGTAGTATAATAGTGCTGATCACACTGTACCCCATATGTCGAGGTAATTCAACAGATGAACTCTATTTTTGACGTATCGTGTATCTTGGTAACGAACTGGAAAAGACGATCATGATGATGTAAATTGAACTGAATATCATAAGAGTAGAAAGAAAAGCAAAACTGCACTTCATATATAATATATTGTATAGAGTATGAAAGCTATAGGACAGGAAATAACAAGAAAGAGAAATCAACTCTCGCTTCCAAAAAGTGGCATAATTAATTATTACTTATATTGCCCTTTCCAGAATGTTATTTCAAAATAATGCTGTTTTTCAAGAATCTCTTTGTGATGGTAAAAAAAAAAAAGATTGGTTTGAGACTGCACGGAACTAGATCTACATCATACACACAGTGTTTCTTCCAGTCTACCTCTACCCCCCCCCCCCACCTGAACGAAACGGAATTTATATAGAAAATATATAATTATTTTAACTGTGTCCGCCCCCCCCCCCCCCCTAACGGAAATTTTAGTTTGCCCACCCTTTCCGTCGAAAGTTTCAACCCTCCCCCCCCCCCACCCCGGAGAAAAAAGTCTGGAAGTAACACTGGACACAAATTCAAAATCTGGTTTTAAAGAGTAACGTTGAACTGGTAAAATGCTTGTTGGTGGCCTAATTGAAAATAAGCATAACATATGGATCTTATATCTAAAAATATTATATTTTTCTAGGTTCTTACACTTGATTGTTATCAATTTCGGCGAAATGGTACCTCACTACTCGCTCCACGTTGGTCGTAGTTGACATTTTACTGGTCTCAATAGTGTAGTATAGGCAAGACTCAGTATAGAGATCATAACAATAATAACAATTTCAATTAGGCAAAACTGACGGGTCCGTGATATAATTTTATATGTCTCCGTGAAGTAGTAAAAACAGTTTGCATATTTAAATAGTTTTGGCAGTGGATTAATAGTACCGTTTATTTTACTGTAAACTCATTCTATTTTTTCATGCATTAAAAGATTTCTATAACGCCAACAAGGTAGCTGACTTTCACTGACTTTCAGTCATATGTTGTTGCTACACAATCAAGTTTGTTTATTCTTAAACCGCTAGAACTGTAACAAGAAGTATTTACTAAAGTTGGGCACATCATACTACTTTCGCTTTCACAGTAATATACTACAGACTACAAGTAATCACTAATCTAGTAATCTACATATTATATGTTACTGTTAGTATTATATCTAGAAATTAAAAAAAAAATATTGAGATAATATTTGCTGAGTAACTGTACAATATTGTACGCTTACATTAGTTATGTACTCTGTAAGAAAAGTCCAAGTTGACAAAGTCAAGTGAGGTGAGGGCAAGTGAGTCGAAGTGACAGACGGTCACAGAGTGTGTTATACAGTTATAGTGTGTAACTGTAATTTTAAAGTAATTTACTGTAATAAATAATAATGAGTAGGCCTAATGTTAGTTTTTGTTACTAAGTTGTTAATGTTAAGTTGTTAGTGTAGGTCAGGGGTTCCCAACCCTGCGCCCGTGGGCGCCATGGGGCTCGCTGAACGATTCGTATGTGCCCGCCTCTCACTATTCGACAGAGACCGATTTTTTTTCATAAACATTTTAAAATATGATTTATTTTTAATTATTTGTTACAGTTTTTTTTTTTTTTGACTGCCTAGGTTTATTAAATATGTTCGATACTTGTGCCAACTTGTCTAGCGGCGAGCCAGACTGCACTATTTACGCTAGCCAGGAACGACTAGTGCCATTTGCACATCACGCCTTGTACACACAGAAAACCTTTCTTTACGTTTTGTAACTACATTTCTCTGTGTGTATGCAATTTGAAAAAAAAATGCCAAATAATTTTATTATTTTGAAACATTTTTTGTTTATTATTTATTAATACATTATGACTATAAGAAAATAAGAAAATAAATTATGGGAAAAAGACAAGTTATGGAAGGAGTTTGTCGATTTAAAATAGGTGGTACCCGCCACCCTACCGATATTTTAGAATGTGCTCTAGAGTAAAAAAAGGTTGGGAACCCATGGTGTAGGTAGTCACAGTGAGTCCAGTTGAGTGAGTGTGCTGTACTAGATCTACTACTAGATAACTAGTAGTACTCTCTGTACTGTGTCTTTTGTGTGTACTTGTTCAAACTTCATCTTTGACAAATTGAGTAGAAACTTCTTACTTAGTAAATTTATTACTCTGTTAAGGGGGAATTTTTATACTAGTGTCCGGTCATAATAATAAAAAATAGAATCTTCTGTAAAAACGGGTGGTAGGCTACTGGTAGTTAACTATTATATAATATATATTAACTAAGTACACGCATTGCTGGCTATTGTCAATGCTAACCCTGTCCCTACCCCCGACCCTAGTCCTACCATACACCTAACCCTTATTTCTAACCATAAAATTAGGACGAGATTACAATACTACTAACAACCAAACACACCTATTTTATGGAAGAGTCTATTATCAGACATCAGTATCTAAAACCATCCATATTGAATTTATTATTATTATAATAAATCACACATTACAATAATTAGGTCCTAATTAAAATTAAACTATTATTGAACTTCACTAAAACTAAATTTAGGTCAAGAATATGGGTGACTGATCATTAAGGATAACATTGTCCAATAATGTCATAACAGACATGGTTAGGTTGTTAGTAGTACTAGTGAACTTATTAGTGTTGACTGTAATTCTTGTCTAGTTTATTTATGGTTAGAAATTAGGGTTAAGAGTTTTGTTGTGGTTAGGGATAGGATTAGCATCGACATTAGCAAGTCATATATGTGTATTTAATTAACTACCATAACCTAAGAAATCCACCATTAATATTAAAATAAGTCTAAATTTAATTAAATTGTCATGTTGTGTTGTTTGTCATCCATAAATGATGTTGCGGGAGGAGGGGTTCGTAATTTTATGACGGTGGGAAAGGGAGGAGGGTATTGTCCATAAGAGCTTGACATTGTTTATGGACGACCGTCTAATCCAACTATAGACTAGCTTAACTATAACAATACAACTAGCAGGTGTATTTAATTAAATACACAAATGTCTTGCTAATGTCAACGCTATCCCTATCCCCAACCCTGTTCCTGTCATACACTTAACCCTAATTTCTAAACATAAAACTAGACTTGGTATTAAAATACTACTACTAGTAACGTAACACACCTATTTTCAGTAGAGTCTGTTATTGGACCTCTGTATATCTAACAAGAGATATTAAGAAAATAAAGTATACAAAAATTATATTACTCAAACATTTAAAAAAATTATAAATATGTATGATTATACTATTTTCAACATTATTAATATGTTTTTATTTCTTTTGTTTATGTAGAACATTGTTACAGAAGATACAGCACCATGAATCTGCCGACTCCGTGTTTATATCTCAGTGGTCTTGAAGACCAAGAAGAACATTCATCATTAAACCTTATAGCTGGGGAATCATCATCCACGTTCTTTGATATCTTATCAACAGTCTCAAGCGATCATTCATTTCATGCATCACTTTTAGCAGATATAGATCTTGATTTAGAATGTGAAGATGATGATAATGAAGATAGCACAAAAACGTTTGAGAGTGTTAAGACAATTTACAATTTTATTCCTAAATGCCCAGCTTTATTGTTTGAAGAAGGCAAGAAACCAGAGGCTACAACATGTTTAACTACGCAGACTCCAAGAGTTGATGTCAGATCCCATGCTATCTATGGGAACAATGTTTACTTTAGGGTGTCTTTCCCTGAAAATAATTTGAAAACAGCTGAACCAAACAAGAGCTGTGTGAATGTTTCAAAATTAATTGCCTGCACAAAATGTAATTTTCAGTTTTCTACTCAGAAAGCCTATATGCACCACTATGCAGATAAACACATTGCCAAGAAAGAAAATGTAATGCATGTTTGCTCAGTTTGTGCTGAAAGTTTTAAGTATAAAAAAAGTTTAATTCAACATAGTAAAAGCCATAACTTCAAAAGCGCAACTAATTCTAACATTCCAAATTTATTTTCTTGTGCGATGTGTGAGTATATTGGCAAAACAAGGAAACTGTTAAAATATCACATGAGAGCAAGGCATGCAAGCAGCCGTAAGAAGTACAGCTGTGAGAGCTGTAACTTTGTCTGCCTTCAGAAGCGATCGTTAGTATTACATCTTCAGAAACATGAAGAAGACCCTAAGTTTGCTTGTGATCAGTGTGGCAAGTTGTTTCACTCAATGTGTGTACTGAAAAGGCATGCCCATACACACAGAAAAATAAAATCTTACCCCTGTACTGTGGGCAGGTGTGACAAACAGTTTACAATTAGAAGTCGATTAACGGACCACATTAGAGCTGTTCATGGTAAAGGTTTATTGAAACGAGGAGCAGATGTTTATAGAAATTCTCAAGATAATGATAGAGCCCACTGTGATATGGTGGAGGTCAGTGATCAAGTCAGTGTATCAAAAGTTAATAGTCAGGTTAATGGTAGCTTGCAGGAAATTAATAATCAGGTGGAATCTTTCTTAAAGAAGTTTAAAAAATTACAAAATAATTCTAGCCAATCAAAATCTCATGATGATTCTAACCCATCAGGACCTTATGATAATTCTAGCCCATCAAGACTTCAAGATGATTCTGGTGTTATAAGACCTCATGACAACTCAAGATTAACATTATCACATGAAAAATCTAGCTCATCAAGACTTCAAGATGATTCTGGTGTTATAAGACCTCATGACAACTCAAGATTAACATTACCACATGAAATTTCTAGCTCATCAACATCTCATGAGATACCCCTGAAGGATATTTTTGTCTATGATGTATTTCTTGAAGAAAAGAAAATGGACCAAAACTCTCCAAATGTTACAAATGTCAAAGAGCAGCTGGAGGGTAAAACATGTTCACTGCCAGAAAAAACAGTTCTGTCTTCAACACAAGATCAGGTGGGTCACAAAGAAAGAAAATGTAGCAAATTTGTTTGCACATGGGAAGGTTGCGGCAAAAGTTTTCGAGACAATTACAACCTTCGTGTCCACACCTTCACACACAGAGGTGACATGCAGAGGACGTGCCCCTGGTGCAGGTACAGGTGCATACAGAAAGCTGCACTCGACACTCACATAAAAACACACAGGAAATGTTAATTTCATTTTGTATATTCTTCATGCAAATTTATGCATTTCTTGGTTGAAAGAGTTGAATTTTCTTATGTGCTATATTTTCCATCATACAACCCCAAGTCAAATTATAAAACAAGAACAATGTCAAAGGTCATTTGAAACACAGGAAGCTGAGTTTTCTTATGTACTTTCATTATACACATTAATTAGTTACATGATTATTAAACTAGTAACTTTCTAATTCTTTGCATATATTATTAGGCTTAAATCGAGAAAGAATAAATTTTATGTCATTGTCTAGCAAGTATTTAACATGGTTATCAATTATTAATTTTAGTAAAAGTGTTACTAAATTTATTATTTATTTTTACCGTTTTTTATTTGCTTGATTAAAAAAAAATAAAGGTTAAATTTGTCTATGTAAGCAGAATGTTTTAAACTCTCTTTATCAGTATGGAACCAGATGGTCAAGCTATAGAGCACATAGATGTCATTTGTATCCTAGGCTTGAGTCTATAGGATGTACTTTAGTCCAACTCTGTTAAGTATCAGCTGATTCTAGTTGAGGGGATTAAATGCAGTAGACCTTGGATATGGGGACTGGTGTTTCTGTGAGGCATTTTTCTGGCTGGGATTAAGGGGGTGGGTGAACAAAATAAAAGAAAAAATTGAATGGTACATATGTGCTTTAACCATTCTTATAATTTACCCCTCTGCTGGAAGCAAAATGTTAGACAGAAATCCTTGGGGAAGGGGGGGGGGAGTGTCTGATCCCCAATGTCTGCTGTCTCTTGTTATGTAACAGCTATTGTGGAGGGTTGGTTGGTGACACTTTCAAAATTTTTGTCATAAAAGTACACGTTCTTAAATTTGTTAATAACTATGTAGGCCTAAATATATGTATATAGCCACTATGTATAAAGATATAAATCTAAATACAGTTTATACCATTATAGGCCTATCTATATTCTATAGCCTATAGATAAGGACATATTTGCCCCCCTGCTGTGATAAAATAAAACCTTGATTACTTTATTTCATTAATTAACTGTTGGAAAAAGCTTCCAGTATGTACAAAATTGCTAACCATTGAGTCCGCATCATCGGTTACAAAATGTAATAAAACTTCTAGATTCTAGGCTTATTACTTTAGCTTGCCTCATTGTTAAAAATACTTGGGTCTAATTTGATTCTGAAAGTATAGCCTATGGGGTATTTTGATATATATTATAATAGCTGTTTAGGAATTCGTTTGATATTCTACCGATACAAAAGTTTAATATCTTGTTAAATTGTGCCAAAACAATTTCTGTTCTCGCGATTAAAGTAGCTGGAAGAGTATTTGGCTCGCCGCGAGCTTTACCCGGGCCATTATCGATACATCAATGGAAATACCGCGCTGAATGAATCGGTTTGATTTCAGCTTGATTCTCAGGTCATGTTTGGTGAGCCGCGAAGTAACGGTTGTAGTGATTGGACGCGCCGTGCCCAACAGAAAAATTGACTGGGTGGATTTTTTGAGCCGGTGACGCGGTTCCAATTTTTCTGTCCTGTCAAGGAAGGCACCGTACACAATGCTAGCACACAAACCACCGGTGTTCGCTTACAGCTAGACCCCCTAAAAAATATCCCCTGCTTAGCGGGTGTACGTATCAAGTGTTGATAGGGTACTCGAGTAAACATGGCATTGTGCAAGCTCGGTTAGTTGTCGGTGGAAAATGTTCAACGACTAGCTACCACTTGCGATTGTCTGTGTAGTTTAGTGTGTTTGTTTCTGCTGTGGTAACTAATACCATTTTTGGATTTTAATTTCGCGCTTGTTTTCTAAAATAAAGGTGGGATTTTAAAAAGAAAAATGATTTTGATCAAATAATTTTCTGGAACTTACATGGATAGTAAAAAGAAATGATGCCAGTCAAATCGGTAAGTACGAGTGGTAAGGTGTTTAACATGTGAGTATGCGCTTGTGTATGTTCATTGAACTTCAGTTAGGCACCAAAGTGACTGAGACGGTCAACAAGGTAGATGAAGCAGAGTTCATCTACTTCTGTGACCTGGGATTGTGCTGCTTCTTTATTTAAAAAAATTGGGGAGGGGGGGGGCACACTGGTTAAAGTATATATTTTTTCTTTTTCGTCGGGAGGAGGAGGACGCTGCGCGTGCTGTGGAAGGAAAGGGGGGGGGGGGTGCAGATGTCTGAAAGAAACTCATATCGTGTGGTCAGCACCATTGCGCAGCCGCCAGCCTATGTGTTTATAATTGTGGCAACTTCCATGTTACTTTCTTGCTTTGTGTCAAGCTACATGACGAGTAAACCTACACTTACCACATATTTCATTGGGTGTTTTAAACAACGCGTGTCTTAACTTTAGTTCTATCAAGTAAGGGGAAAAATTCAACAAATTATCGCCAGTTTAGTTTTACAGGAAGACAACTCCATATGGCACCTAATTGGTAAATTTCTGGTGCGGGGCTGCTCTCCCATCCCGGCAAGTTCAAGTTTCTTCTCAACCACTTGTGTACAATACTACAGTTGCTTTGATATGGCGTTAAATTACTACAAAATTAACAGAATCGTTTCAGTCCCAATATCCTGCGTTCACCCTCACATGTTGATGTGGGTTACTAAACATACAGTGTACTCTTTACATACGTCAATAACAAAAGTTTAAGCTCTATAATCCGAAGACAAATGAAAGAAACTTTCTTATCCTAGATTTCTAGTTTAATTGTTGCGGCAGGACGAAAGAATTGTGTTAGTTCAAATAACATTCGAGGCTTCTGTTGAACTCCAGCTGAGGAGATAATTGTGAGATCACATTTACCGGCCTGGTGACGTTGTTGATGTACACCACGTGTAAAACCACATTCTTGTTATGCTTATAACTTGAATAACTCGGACAGTTTAGAGAATGACGTAAAAAAATAATTCCCTTCCCACCCCTCCCACGCCAACAAGACAAGACGTACATTAAAATTTAAGACTATAATTACTGTAAACACACGGAGCAATGACCGTCAAGACAGTTTATATTAATATTTGTGTTGTGTAGTAGGTGTAGTAGTTTGTGTAGCAGGCTATAGTTTTGTTATGAAGTAGGCTATAGTTGTGTTGTGTTGTAGGCTATTGTTGTGTTGTGTTGTAGGCTATAGTTGTGTTGTGTAGTAGGCTGTAGTTGTGTTGTAGGCTATAGTTTTGTTATGTAGTAGGCTATAGTTGTGTTGTGTTGTAGGCTATTGTTGTGTTGTGTTGTAGGCTATAGTTGTGTTGTGTTGTTGGCTATTGTTGTGTTGTGTTGTAGGCTATAGTTGTGTTGTGTTGTTGGCTATTGTTGTGTTGTGTTGTAGGCTATAGTTGTGTTGTGTAGTAGGCTGTAGTTGTGTTGTGTTGTAGGCTATAGTTGTGTTGTGTTGTAGGCTATAGTTGTGTTGTGTTGTAGGCTATTGTTGTGTTGTGTTGTAGGCTATAGTTGTGTTGTGTAGTAGGCTGTAGTTGTGTTGTGTTGTAGGCTATAGTTGTGTTGTGTTGTAGGCTATTGTTGTGTTGTGTTGTAGGCTATTGTTGTGTTGTGTTGTAGGCTATAGTTGTGTTGTGTTGTTGGCTATTGTTGTGTTGTGTTGTAGGCTATAGTTGTGTTGTGTAGTAGGCTGTAGTTGTGTTGTGTTGTAGGCTGTAGTTGTGTTGTGTTGTAGGCTGTAGTTTTGTTGTGTTGTAGGCTATAGTTGTGTTGTGTTGTAGGCTATTGTTGTGTTGTGTAGTAGGCTATTGTTGTGTTGTGTTGTAGGCTATAGTTGTGTTGTGTTGTTGGCTATTGTTGTGTTGTGTTGTAGGCTATAGTTGTGTTGTGTAGTAGGCTGTAGTTGTGTTGTGTTGTAGGCTATAGTTGTGTTGTGTTGTAGGCTATAGTTGTGTTGTGTTGTAGGCTGTAGTTGTGTTGTGTTGTAGGCTGTAGTTTTGTTGTGTTGTAGGCTATAGTTGTGTTGTGTTGTAGGCTATTGTTGTGTTGTGTAGTAGGCTGTAGTTGTGTTGTGTTGTAATCTGTAGTTGTGTTGTGTTGTAGGCTATAGTTGTGTTGTGTAGTAGGCTGTAGTTGTGTTGTGTTGTAGGCTATAGTTGTGTTGTAGGCTATAGCTGTGTTGTGTTGTAGGCTATAGTTGTGTTGTAGGCTATAGCTGTGTTGTGTTGTAGGCTATTGTTGTGTTGTGTTGTAGGCTGTAGTTGTGTTGTGTAGTAGGCTGTAGTTGTGTTGTGTTGTAGGCTATTGTTGTGTTGTGTTGTAGGCTATAGTTGTGTTGTGTAGTAGGCTGTAGTTGTGTTGTGTTGTAGGCTATAGTTGTGTTGTAGGCTATAGCTGTGTTGTGTTGTAGGCTATAGTTGTGTTGTAGGCTATAGCTGTGTTGTGTTGTAGTCTGTAGTTGTGTTGTGTTGTAGGCTATAGTTGTGTTGTAGGCTATAGCTGTGTTGTGTTGTAGGCTATAGTTGTGTTGTAGGCTATAGCTGTGTTGTGTTGTAGGCTATAGTTGTGTAGTAGGCTATTGTTGTGTTGTGTTGTAGGCTATAGTTGTGTTGTAGGCTATAGCTGTGTTGTAGGCTGTAAAAGTATGACGATGGCCCCTATTAAAGAAATACACAACACAGCGGCGACAATCTGGTTGATTAAACAACATTTTAAAGAAAGTTGCGAAACGAAGTTAAAAAAGCTGCGAAATGAAACCAAGGTGTTTCTTCCACATTGTTCTATCATTAATACTCTCACTTGCATTTAAAAATAAAGACCCTAGCGTAACAAGCGTGTTTACAAAAAAATGTTTAGATACTTGAAGTTTTTTGTTTCTTAACTCCAACTAAACCAGTTCGAGATAATTAGAAGTTAATTGGTCTAATTGGCTCACATTTCTACACGTCAGCCTAAACCCGACTGGTGCGTCTGTTTTGTTGATACTTTTTCTATTCACGTTTTGTACTGTGTTTACTGCGTTATTACCCTTTCACTTGCTTGCCATTCTTGAACCTCAGTGCAGTGGAGTTGCGGCCCTTCGTCGAGTGATATTTATGGGCTTTTCTTGCTGATTCAATTGGCGTTTAATTGGGTCTTGGATATTTTAATGACTTTCTTTTCATAGCCTGTTTGTACATATATTTACATATAGTCTATAGATATTCATAAAGGCTATATGTATACTTGTGTATGTGTACGTGACTATATATATATATATATATATATATATATATATATATATATATATATATATATATATATATATATATATATATATAAAGTTTATATGCGTACATACTGTAATTTAGACGGGTTGGGTAATTTTTTCAATGATAACTGGAAACTATTGATTATGCCAATAAGATTTCCACTATTACATTGTCCTAGAATTTCAAACTTTCAAAATTGGTTTACTTGACTTGATATTCCCGGGTCTATGTTAGCGTATTAATTTAAACGGCTTAGCTCGGATTGATATATGAGTTGCAAGTGCAGGATCCAAAACATGTTATATTCTTGAAGACCCCCTAGACTGATTTTAATACGACACAGATACGGGGACGTTTAGAAAGATCTAGAACACAATACACAGACAGCCAGTGGCGCACAGGATACATGGCGGAAACAACGGTGTTTTGTAGTTGAATTTGAACCATTGCTGGACTGTTGTTTTTATTTTCCGATAAAGGGAATTAATTTGTCGCTCGAATCTATGGGCAAGTCTCTTTAAAATTAAAGCATCGCACAGAAGTCTGTTAAGTGCTGGGGGGGGGGGGGGATCGTTTGAATTGTTTTTTCCAGTTTAAAGTGTGAGGCGTGCATCAATAAAACTTAGGCCTCGTTGAACTGTCCGTTGGGCGGTCAGGTCTTTAGCATCAAAGTAAAACGCGGCAATGCGAGTCTGACAGTACAAGGCAGCCAAACTTGTTGCATCGTCATCACACGGGTCAAACAGACGTTTGGGGTCAACATCAAACTAGGGCTGCACGAGTAACTTAGACTAACCTGTTTTCAGGGGGGGGGGGGGGTGGAGGTAGGAGGGAAGAGGGAGAGGGAGCTTCATAGTTAACTATGAGTTAGGGTTCAGGATAAGCTTTATTGTGTGTTCACGTGTGCAGTACACGGCTAGTCAAGGCTTAGCTCCTGTCTAACACCTTCAGCCGTCTGCTACAGCCCAAGATCTAATTACTAATTACGATTGCTTGTTCCGAAAATCTGTTTCATTATTTTGACGCATTTAGACAAACCGCGTTTTAAAGTACGACTATTGAAAAATAATTCCAGTTCTTGTTTTAAGATCTTGATCGATTCTAGTTTTGGTTAAGATCTTGATCGATTCTAGTTTTGGTTAAGATCTTGATCGATTCCTGTTTTGGTTAAGATCTTGATCGATTCTAGTTTTGGTTAAGATCTTGATCGATTCCTGTTTTGGTTAAGATCTTGATCTATTCCAGTTTTCGTTAAGATCTTGATCTATTCCAGTTTTGGTTAAGATCTTGATCTATTCTAGTTTTCGTTAAGATCTTGATCTATTCCAGTTTTCGTTAAGATCTTGATCTATTCCAGTTTTGGTTAAGATCTTGATCTATTCTAGTTTTCGTTAAGATCTTGATCTATTCCAGTTTTCGTTAAGATCTTGATCTATTCCAGTTTTCGTTAAGATCTTGATCTATTCCAGTTTTCGTTAAGATCTTGATCTATTCTAGTTTTCGTTAAGATCTTGATCTATTCCAGTTTTCGTTAAGATCTTGATCTATTCCAGTTTTCGTTAGATCTTAATCTATTCCAGTTTTGGTTAAGACCTTGATCTATTCCAGTTTTGGTTAAGATCTTGATCTTTTCCAGTTTTCGTTAAGATCTTGATCTATTCCAGTTTTCGTTAAGATCTTGATCTATTCCAGTTTTCGTTAAGATCTTGATCTA